AAACCATCCAGAGTTCCACAGACAAAAAACAGATTGGAAATTAAAAATGTCCGCAACAATTTCCATTCAAAACGGTGGTTTCTCCATTCAGAATGGAGAACGGAGAAGTCTCCATTTAGAACGGAGAATTCTCCATTCAGAGGGATTTCTCCATTCTGAATGGAGAAAACGCTTCGGAAAACACTAATATATAGATTTTTAAAAAAAGAAAGGTTCGAAACGCTTCTGAAAAAATTTGAATGGAGAAATCTCCATTCTAAATGGAGATTTCCCCATTCTGAATGGGAAAATGCTCTGGAAAAAAAAAGAGAGACAAATTTCAAAAAAAGGTTCGAAACGCTTCTGAAAAAGATTGAATGGAGAAATCTCCATTCTGAATGGAGATTTCTCCATTCTGAATGGAGAAAATGCTCTGGAAAAAAGAGAGATACATTTCAAAAAAAAGGTTCGAAACGCTTCTAAAAAAGTTTGAATGGAGAAATTTCCATTCAGAATGGAGATCTCCATTCTGAATGGAGAAAATGCTTTGGAAAAAAAAGAGAGACGCATGTCAAAAAAAGGTTCGAAACGCTTCTGAAAAAAATTAAATGGAGAAATCTCCATTCTAAATGGAGATTTCTCTATTCTGAATGGAGAAAATGCTCTGGAAAAAAAAGAGAGACACATTTCAAAAAAAGGTTCGAAACGCTTCTGAAAAAGATTGAATGGAGAAAATGCTCTGGAAAAAAAAGAGAGACAAATTTTTTAAAAAAAGGTTCGAAACGCTTCTAAAAAAGTTTGAATGGAGAAATCTCCATTCAGAATGGAGATTTCTCCATTCTGAATGGAGAAAATTCCCTGTAGAGGTTTTTTTCCAAAAAAAAAATAAAAACGCTTCTGAAAAACATTTGAATGGAGAAATCTCCATTCAGAATGGAGATTTCTCCATTCTGAATGGAGAAAATTCTCTGTAGATATTTTTTTTAAAGTTCAAAACACGTCTGAAAAAAATGAATGGAGAAATCTCCATTCAGAATGGAGATTTCTCCATTCTGAATGGAGAAAATTATTTGTGGAGTTTGTTTTTCAAAAAAAAAGTTCAAAACACTTCTGAAAAAAATTGAATGGATAAAATTCTCTGTAAAGATTTTTTTTTAAAGTTCAAACCACTTCTGAAAGAAAATTGAATGGAGAAATCTCCATTCAGAATGGAGATTTTTCCGATTTTGAATGGAGAAAATTATTTGTGGAGTTTGTTTTTCAATAAAAAATCAAAACGCTTCTGAAAAAAATTAATGGAGACAATTCCCTGTAGATGTTTTTTTCAAAAAAAAATCAAAAACGTTTCTGAAAAACATTTGAATGGAGAAATCTCCATTCAGAATGGAGATTTCTCAATTTTAAATGGAGAAAAATATCTGTAGCGATTTTTTTTCAAAAGAAAATTCAAAACGCTTCTGAAAAAAATTGAATGGAGAAACCTCCATTCAGAATGGAGAAATCTGCATTTATTTTGTTGAGAAGCGTTTTTCATTTGCAATTTCATATTTTGCAAAAAAATGGTGAAAACGCTTTTCAACAAAAGTGAATGGAGATTTCTCCATTCTGAATGGAGATTTCTCCATTCTGAATGGAGAAAAGTTTCTGGAACACAATTTACAGATAATGTTCAAAAAAAAGTTGAAAACGCTTCTCAAAAATTTGAACGGAGAAATCTCCATTCAGAATGGAGAAATCTCCATTCACTTTTTTTTGAGAAGCGTTTTGCATCAGTTTTTTCAAAAAAAGAAGCGTTTTTTACTTCAAAAGTAGTTGAAAAACGCTTATTTATTTTTTTTGAATGGAGATGATTTTTCAATATTTTTTTTGGCCTGGCAGATCGGAAATAAACAAAAAAAACACAAATTATTCATTCTTCTCCATTCAGAATGGAGAAATCTCCATTCTGAATGGAGATTTCTCCATTCATTCTTTTTCAGAAGCGTTTTGAACCTTTTTTTGAAAAAAATCTCAACAGAGAATTTTCTCCATTTAAAATGGAGAAATCTCCATTCTGAATGGAGATTTCTCCATTCAAATGTTTTTCAGAAGCGTTTCGAACTTTTTTTTGAAAAAATATCTACAGGGAATTTTCTCCATTTAAAATGGAGATTTCTCCATTCATTTTTTTCAGAAGCGTTTTGAACTTTTTTTTTTGAAAAACAAACTCCACTGATAATTTTCTCCATTCAGAATGGAGAAATCTCCGTTCTGAATGGAGATTTTCTCCATTTCTTTTTTTTTAAGAAGCGTTTTGAACTTTAAAAAAAAAAATATCAACAGAGAATTTTCTCCATTTAAAATGAAGAAATCTCCATTCTGAATGGAGATTTCTCCATTCAAATGTTGTTCAGAAGCGTTTGGAACTTTTTTTGAAAAAAATCTCAACAGAGAATTTTCTCCATTTAAAAAATTAAAATGGAGAAATCTCCATTCTGAATGGAGATTTCTCTATTCAAATGTTTTTCAGAAGCGTTTCGAACTTTTTTTTGAAAAACAAACTCCACAGATAGTTTTCTCCATTCAGAATGGAGAAATCTCCATTCTGAATGGGGATTTCTCCATTTATTTTTTTCAGACGTGTACCGTGTTTTGAACTTTTTTTTGAAAAAAAAACTCTACAGAGAGTTTTCTCCGTTCAGAATGGAGAAATCTCCATTCTGAATGGAGATTTCTCCATTCACATGTTTCTCAGAAGTGTTCTGTTTTTTTAAAAAACATCTCTACAGAGATTTTTCTCCATTCAAGTGTTTTTTTGAGAGGTGATTTGAGCATTTTTTTAAAACATATATCTACATATAATTTTATCCATCCAGAATGGAGATTTGAAGATTTCTCCATTCATTTTTTTCAGAAGCGTTTTTTGTTGAAAAACAAACTCCACAAATAATTTTCTCCATTCAAATATTGTTCAGAAGTGTGTTGATTTTTTCTTGAAAACAATCTCTACAGAGAATTTTCTCCATTCAGAATGGAGAAATTACCATTCTGAATGGAGATTTCTCCATTCAATTTTTTTTTCAGAAGTGTTTTGATTTTTTTTTAAAAAAAATCTACAGAGATTTTTTCCATTCTGAATTGAGACTTCTCCATTCTAACAGGAGATTTCTCTATTCATTCAAACGGATTATTTTTCTCTATTCAGAATTCTCCGTTCTAATTTTGATTTGTTTTCTTCCATTCCAAATAGATATGTCTTGTTCCATTCTGAATGGAGATTTATCCAGTCTAACTTCTGAAATTCAAAACATATTCACTCTGGAAACAGCTCCATCAATATTAACTGTGTTGCTGTTTTCATAAACTTTTTTTTTGAAGAAATCTCCAGTCTGAGCCTGAGTGAAGGAATATTTATTCTGGATTGAAAAACCATATATATATATATACACAGTAGAAATTAGAGAAAAACACTTCTATTTCTTCTCTGCTTATTTGTTTGTAACACAATTTGTGCATGTTAATGTTCATTTCAAGGGATTTGTTTATTGAATGTATGAGATTATACTTGTTTACATATTAGATACATGGTCATCATATGTATTAGCTATATATATATATATATGCATATGTTGTTGGAAGTTTCTGATATGACCACTAGCGAGGTTTGGCCTTTTCTTTTCATTTTCAGCATTTTTCAGCAGAAGAATGCAACACTCCCCAATCTTTCTTTTGTCGCTTATTTTTTGCCAAAAAAAACTGGAACAAGGAAGCACCTTGCAACACGGAGAAACCACCATTGAGAATGGAGACGTATCCAGTCCTTTTTTGGTTGGTCTTTTTCAAATTTCTTAGAATAGTGTTTCTGCATCTTGAATCTTTCATGTTAATCAAAAAAATGGAACCATAACCATTCAGAACAGACAAATATCCATTCGGAATGGAGACATAATTTCACCAAAAGGATGCATCAACCTCCATGTAGAATGGAAAAATATCGGTTCTGGATGGGCAAATCTCCTTGCAGGGTGAATGAATGCTAATTTATGATGGTAAATTGTCAATTCTTGCTGGAAAATGTTGTTAACTGTTTCATCTATATATACAGTACTTTCGTTCAAGTTTGACCAAAAGGAATGAAACACCACCTGTTCAGAACCAACAACTTTCATTCAGCATGAAGATTTCTCCGATTCATTTTCGAGCACATATATAGACACTTTTCTCTTCACCATGGGAACAATCAAAAGTCCATTCAAATGCTTCATTTCTACATTGCTGTCCTCGTGACTGCAGCACCTCTGAGTTGTTTTTTTTTGAAATTTACAAGCCCAGGTTTTTCAACTCTTGGGTCCTGGGTCATGTTTTTTGCTAGCTTCCAAATCCGGGTTTTCCCACTTGAAACATGTTTCACCTTCACAGGGTGAATCCGTATTCCCTACACATGCTGAAACGCTTCTTTTTTCTATTCCCCACCAGCTGGTGCAAGTTAACAATCCATACCACAATTTTTTTGGGGGATAGGGCCAGAACATCCGTCAGGAAATAGAAACGTCACGCTTTGCTCAACGGGAGTTTGGAAATTTTGGAATTCAGAATCTCTCTTTTCATTGGGATGGCACGATTATCATTTCCTGTACCCATCCATCTCACCTCACAAAAAGCTCAAGGCTTGTCCAACTTTTATGTTTCGAAAACCTTGAAATGCGGAGGTGTTGCCCGAGGAGTTTCTACACCCGATCTGGAGCTCTACAGAAGCCGTTTTGCTCAGCAACTTACAATCTTACTGACCCACGCAGCCATTGGCTGCATGGACATCAAGTAGTAGTCTTAGTAGTCCGCTACTTTGTTTTTTTTTGATCTTACTGGAAAACTAGAGTCGGGATTTCATGATTTCCGGGGTCAACAGGTAGAAAGGCGATACCCCAACTGTTTTGATGTACAGTAGGTGTTGTTTCTTTCACGATCCCCTACAATACGCGACATCGCGCGACGATGCTCCTCCAGCTGAAGATCAAAGACGGACGGACCTATCCTGGCGACCCCGTCTGTCGGGCTTCCCCTGCTGTGAACTGTGGCCATGGCTGAAACCTCCTACTTGTGGGAGGTGCCTACCTTGGGGGGGGAAAGGTACGGCGACGGCTTTACGGCATGGCATGCCAAAGGGGCCATTTTTGGATTCCTCTCATCCAGCGAAGTTTGGCCAACAATTGGGCACCCCTGAAATCCAGTTTAATCATCATCTTTCGCATTCTTTACTGCCATATTGATCCATATTGATCCAAAAAAAGATCCATATTGGGCATTGGGGGTATCCCGTATCCCCCTGAGCTGAAATTGGTCCCCGGCAATTTCAAAGTAGACGTGGCAACATGTTAACCCTTGCTATCTTTTTTTGGGCTACTATATATTCAAAAAGATTGACAGACGTTAGATTTAGACCCACATTAAGGATGCATAGTAGCAGCCAATAGTTACTCTCTACATCCATGTATGTACTTGGACATCACGGCCAAGATTGAATAAATATTAAGGATATTGAAGGACCCTTGAACTACTTGCAATGTCCCAATGGCTTTGGCAATTGCCGTACCCTGTGTACCCCGACATACGAGTTTGTCATCGAAGCTCTCACAACAAACATGACCGTTGTGTATATAGATAGAGATATCAATATATATATATATATAGATATAGATATAGATTACATATATATATATATATAATATACAGTATATAATATAGAAATCTAGATCTAGGCACAGCAAAGAAAGATCATCTGATGCACCCATTGTGCTTTAATTAGACTGACAGGAGCCTGAAAAACTCCGCAGTTCTGGCGGCAAAGGTGCAGGTGTGGCCCAAGAATGGCAAGATGATTAAGATGGGTCAGCAGATTTGGGAGATTGGGAGTTTGGAACATCCACCATTTATCTATCATAAGTTCTCCTATCATTTGATAGCACTTTTGAAGGATAATATCATGATATATCCCTCATTTTCCAGATGGAACTAAAACCTAGGAAAGAATTCATGACGCGTGTGAAGGTTTGCCGATCAGAGTGGACAAAAATTAGATAAATCCCCATGGAATAATTTGTCCGAAAATGGGGTATAACTCTGGCTATGGCAATTCCAATGCGAAACATCACCATAAATCCATTTTTTTTTTAAATACCATATTTTCAGACAACCCCCTCATAGCTTGGTCCTGTTGACCAAGTTTGGTTGATGCTCCCCAAGTCGAAAAGGCCAAGTGATTCATCAGCGAGCTTGGCTGTGAACTTCCCTCGTCTGATGTGTTCATCAGTTGTCAGATTCCGGAACAAATACCCTCTGGTAATTTGTTACATAGCTATTGAACATGGCCATAGAAATAGTTGATTTACCCATTAAAAATGGTGATTTTCCATAGTTTTTTGTATGTTTACCAGAGGGTAAGCCCTCCAACAAATCGTAGGTCCTTTTACAGGGTGGATGGTGTCTGATCAGGGCGAAAAAAATCAACAGCTGATGGTTGGTCCAACTTGGTATCGGCCTTTTTTGTTTCTCCATGAAACATGAATAACTTGGATCTTAGGATCGGGCTGCCCCTGTATCTGAACGAAAATCAGGTCATACCCTCTAGTAAATCACCGTTTTTAATGGGAAAATCCACTATTAATGGCAATTTTCAATAGCTACGTTAAATTACCAGAGGGTACATGTGAACATCTGTGGATGGTCGCGACATCCCATTGTGATCCCATCATCAAGATTTCGCAGCCTTTTCAGCAGATTTTCACCATTTTTTTCCTGCTTCGAATATTTAAGAAAAAAACCTGTGGGTTGATATCACACACATACATATACTATACCAAGCGGCGCACCATGGCTAAATTGGTTTATAACTGGGTTATCAGTTTTTATTGTGATGATATCTTTGGTTAGATGTTAGATGGGGTTATAGACCAACTTACCACTATGGCGTACCAGCCAATAGATATATAATTCAATTACGGTACATTACTGTTACTTTATGTTGGGTTACCTTGCATTACATTGCATATGACATGACGTGACATGACATGACATGTCATGTCACATGCATATATATATATATATAGATGTACACAGTTCCGTTTCAAGACACCATTTCTGCAGGGAAGCATGCAGCCAGCTTGTTGGCGCAAGAAGTACAACTGGCCGGTGAAGCCGCTGAAGAAGCGCGGAAGAATCGTGCCTGGGCCGCCGTTGGCTGGGCCGCCGGGGCCGCCGGGGCCGCCGGGGCCGAGCCCAGCTTATGGATGCGTTTTACGCAGGGAATTTTCGGGAATGATCCATGGATCATCACTATCAATAATAATCCCAGCAACCCCCAGTCCCATCCATTCCCTACTAATTAAGCACTAGTCATGGGATGACTGGAATTTGCTCAAAGTTCATGGAGGATGAACTCATGAATCCCAGTCCTGAAAATAATGTTTTTGACCGATGGACCCATGATCCAGACCTCCCTTGGATCCAAGTGCAGCAAGGTTTCGTTTGTGGGTGATCTTACAGTTCACTAATTCTGATCCCATTAAAATTGTCTGACAGTAGTCATTTCAATCCTCCATATTTGTCGGTTATAGAATTGAAAAAAACAGCAATGGAAAACGTTTACCACCTATATTTTGATGGTTGGAATTTCATGGAGTCCCCATAGTTTGGTGGTCAATTTGGGATGGCAACTACATCGGCATACATTGGCTGTCTTGCTTTCCTCAGATTCGACATGTTTACCCTCTGGTAAACTAACATAGCTATTGAACATGGCCATTTATAGTGGATTTTCCCATTAAAAATGGTGATTTTCCATAGCTACGTTAAATTACCAGAGGGTACACCCAGGTTGCCACCTCTGAGGCGAATCTCGAGCGGCGAAGCAGTCCGCGGTGAAACCGGCGGTTGCGAGCCAAGCCGGAGACTTTGTTGGGGAGAAACAGGCCATGCTTGGGGGTCAAAGGTTGGAGAAAAGTCTGGTGGAATGTGGACAGTTCATGACAGTTCCATATGATGTTGGCCTTTTTTTCATGCAATGTTGCAGTTCTGGAAGCCATAACAGTAGCTGTTGGTGGGCGAATCCCGAGAGTTAGTGCCCATGGCAAGGAATCCCATGGCACTGCCAAGGTTGTACCCCCAGTGTTGGAAGCGTAGGGGGTGCGTGTAAAGTAAAGAAATACAAGGTGAAGGCAAGAAAAGTGTTTGTTGATGTTTGTTGGTTTATAAACCCATGACCTAGTTCTATCCCCCTAATCAATCCAACAGTTAACAAAGTTACTTGAGTCAACTGCGTCAACTTAGCTAGCATCAATCAACAATCCAAACGAATCCATCTACTGTAAATTAAATCATCATTTTTGGTGAAATCACAATCTTCCTGTATTGTAGGGAGCCTGCCTAACCTTGTAGGCTTTTAACGGCCCTCGGAGATCCTGTTAGGGACCTGCCACAGGTCCTGGAATTCGCGTGTGACGCAAGCTTCATGCAAGGCGAGGTCGTTGTGTTTGTCGTGTTCTGCTAGAGTTCCTCTCTTGTTCAGACGGTGTACGGGACAACACATCAGTTTATGGGCAAATCATGGATAGTAAACATTTTGTTTCCAAAAAAATGTTCTATCCTTAGGGCTTTGACTGATGTAAAACTGAGATTGAAGCAGAAATAGCAACTGTAAGAGACTCCGAAAAACCGCCTGCCTCGCCGTTTTGCTCATTAGCTCATTCTGGATACTTCATTGTAACCTCAAATGATCGATTCAAGGCAACCATAGGAGGTTTGTACGTCGAGCAACTTTCCTTCCAGGCTTGGTAAACGTGAATTTGGGACCATCTACAGCAATCCGAAAGGACATAGCCAGACACATTGCTATATCCCAAAATTGAGGTTGATGTAGTAGTTACTAATTACCAACAAATTATATGCTGTACATACTATGTACTGTATATATGCAAAATTGCTGAACAGTATATTCGCCAATTGATCTATCCAACTAAACAAAGAAGGTGTATTGGCAATCTTGGGATACCAATTTAATGCCAATGAGAAGTAGGGATAAGACGGGTTCGTCTGAAAAGTGGGCACCCCCTATTTCATGGTTTATCATCATTTTCTCATACTTTCTCTATTAAAATCACCATAACTTTGGGGGTATACCCTATTTCCCCACACACGCATATGATTCTAATGATAGGCAATACCCTTCGAACATGGACAAATATAGCAATACATAGAAACTATACCAAACGTAGCAGTTGGCAATTACAACTGGTAATTTAACATAAAATGACTTATCCACATAGAGAGTCATGATTTTTGCATGAAATATCCCATCATAAACATTCATAAACCCTAGAAAAAACTCAGATTTGTATCATTGTCAGATTGGGTTATATCCCCATCACCTATCCAAAAAATATACCATGATAGTTGGGCTAATATCTCCCCACGAAAATATCCAAAAAATCCCCATCAAACTATCCAAATCCCAAGCAAATTCACTTGCAAATCCCGATTTTTGCATCAGGCTTTAGAATTCATCCCTGATTTTTCATGGTTTTTTATGCTCATGACTTTCCTCATAAATCCCAGGTTTTTCCAGTTTAGATTTTAGATGAATCTCCCATGAAATCTCCTTGCTGTATCCCCCTGCTGTATCCAGGTCGGGAGGAGGTCCATCTGAATCGTCACGTCACCTGGCTCCAGATCTCTTCCTGGAGAAAATGACGAAAACGGGAATATCATGGGAACTAGCATGGGAATATCTATTTACTGAACCAGAATATGCATGAATATGGATGAATATGGATTTTTCGTGCTTTTTCGAAGTACTGTAAATCCGAAGCAAAATGGGAATGGAAGATGGAAAATCCCACCAGATTATTGATACTCACCAGGGGATTCCGAAGGAAATCTACAAAGCAAAATGGGAAGGTGGAATGAAAAGTTCGCAGGATGATTATAAATTGTACATGTGCATATATGTACATACATACATATATATATATATACATAATAATATATATACATATATATATAAAATCCTATATGTATATATATAATCCTATATGTATATATATAATCCTATATATATATAATATTATATAATTATACACATAACGGAGTATGAACCACTTACGAAAAGCTGCGAAAAAAACACCTGTTTTGAGGGGTCCCCCGAAAAGATGGGAGCACACACTGCGAATGTGCACCGCAGGCAGGGATTTCCTGATTTGTTTCTGTGAAAGTGACAGTTGCATGTTTGCCATTTGGAGACACCATTTCATCCATTTCCCTTCCTGAGGATTTTGGAATCAGCCAATAGGTTCACACCAGGAGTAAATTCGTAGTTGCTGATTGCAGATTAATGTTATGAAAGGCAGCCAAGCAAAGGCATACCACCCAAAAAAACTCTGGAAAGGCAACTTTGTTTGTTAAGAAAGTGCATGTTTCCAAGAGGCTCTTTGTGCTGGCTTTGAAAAAATGCATGTTTCCAAAGGTTCTTTTAACATACAGATTGCACCACACATTTCCAGGGGAGCTGCTTAACGTGTCAAATCTGTGTATAATCGGCTGAGACATTGACTTGTGGTATCTTGTGCTGGGAGCAAAGATCAAACACGATGGACCATACCAAAGGGATTTAAGTAGAGAATTATTCATGCGCCCGAAGATTCTGAAGATGTTCAATACTCATGCTGGTTGGTGGTTTGGAACATGTTTTTTATTTTTCCATTCAGTTAAAAAAATCATCATCCCAACTGACGAACTCATATTTTTCAGAGGAGTTGAAACCACCAACCAGCATGTCTCTTCTGTTTCTTTTTTGGCATGGATCCATCATCATGTGGACTGTTGCATCCGGGGACAATGGTTCACTGCGAAACCAAGCGACCAGTCAGCAGTTAATGAAATTCAATGAATCACTATGTATGAAAACATCAACAAATGACATGGGGTTTCATCCTGATATTTATAATTGTATGTACAGTATATATATATATATAGTTTGAAGTCGCAAGGTAGACAGCTAGACATCTTCAAATCTTCTAGGACACTCAGCGTCACAAAAACCCTTGGTGGGTACCCATTTCTAGCTTTGCCTCTAAGATTAATGCCCTCCATCATTTCTGGTATGAAATTCCAATTGTTTGGCGGTTGAATCCACATTTTTTTTAAAATGGATTTCATCATTTCTGTTTTTTTTTTTCACTGTCAACTCCCTTCTGCGTTTGTAGGTCTTGTTCATCGCATCACAGGTGGTAGTGAAAGACCTCGTGGCGGCGGCCAAAGCCTTCAAGATGCCACTGAGTCTAGCAGCTCGTTGCTTTACCGCGCTGGGACCCCTGGGACTTTTGGGACCCGTTTTGGACCCGTTTTTTCCCCCGGAATCGCCAAGTGGGCGAGTTTCCAAGCCCCTTCAGTTCTTAGTGACCCAGTCTATAATGGGTTTTAATGTTAGGGCCAAGCAGCGTTCAGAACATCCGAGAAGCAGGTTTATGAGGGCTTATCAACCGTCTATTCTTGGCGTCACTAAGCTAGCGGTGAAATCTGAAAATGAACTTCTCAAACATGGTGGGAATATCTGGGGATAGAACAGCTATTATGACAAGGCAGAAGTAACTGGGGTTTATGGTGATATAACCATAATGGGGAAAATCATGATCATAATGGGAATATAACGGGAATAGAATGGGAATACAGTGGGGATATATATATATACATATTAATAGGAATGAAACCAACAATATGAGGATATAGTCAGTTTGTGGACGGGAAAGGTCCCTTTTTTGTTGATCAACCAACAGGGGTTTCGGACTCCGTTCGAATTAGGGCTACTCCATGGTCAGATTTGCAAAGAAGTTCTATCGGAGAATCCCACACACATACATACATATACATATACATATATATATATATATACATACATATATATATATATATGTATACATATACTCTCAAGATTGGTAGGGAGGCCGATCCTTGAGAGATACCCAAATCCCTCTATATCCAACAACTGAAGGAAGATCCACACTGAGATGTAGTTGAAAGATCCCTGATCTGTAAACACCTATGTGCCCTGCACAAACACCAATCGTAGCACTTTTTATGGCTGACAGCGAAGCTCAAAATGTCCCTCCCTCCGCTGGGCAATGCCTGAGCCCACCCTTGAGCTACGGAGAGTCAGGTAGCTGATGATCTCGAACAGGCATGCATTGAACATCATTGCTTTGAAATTCCTTCTATCTATAAAATGTTCGAGATACAGCGGTTCCTCACGCTGAGTCTTCAAGATTCATTCCCGTCTGGCAAACAATGAAAACACTGTTGTCAGTCAACATGATTCCAGCTAGGACGTCTTGGCTTTTCCTATCCATGAATCCCCAGTTGTAGAATCCTGAGACAAATTGCGAAGCCACTGCATTCGGGCTCTAGAGTCGGAACGGGCACGGAGGATCTGATTTTCGTCATGTAAGCTGTAGCGACCACGGGCCAGGCATTCGCGCAATACCGCAGCATCCATGATCTTGGTCAGAGCATCTGCCAACTGTGCTTGTGATGGTACCCATCTGATTTGGATTCCATTTCGCAGGTGTTCTTTGATAAGTTTCGCTTGTAATTGAGTTCGGAATTCACCACAACTAGGTGGGGCATGTCTACTGATCAGGTCAAAAAGTGATTTGCAATCTGTTGTGATAATGGATTGAGTCTTCTCGGGTAATTTTGAAAGGACATTTTGGAGTGATAAAGGTGGTTGGGAATCAGTGGATTCATCCGTTGGGGGGATCGCTGCAAACGCCGGTGGCAACCGCAGTAGCGTCTCATCCGCCAACTGCCATTTGCAATTGCCGTCACGCAACCAAGCCCAGTACCGTCGCAGCCACGTCAAACTGTCTACTGCACCAGCTAGCGACATTGCCTCAGCTGACAATGTACTGACCACAACCTTTTGAATCTTTTTCGAATGCCATATCAAAGGATTCACTGGGCAGCTGTGGTTTTCGGCAATCTTTTTGTGACTGGCCATGATCATCATTCCTTGATGGGAGTCTGGTACTTTGCTGGAGGCGAATGAGGCATCGGAAAATGCTACAAATCGGATGTCATCAATGGGAATTGGTTGAAATTTGATAGTTACATCTGAGTGAACTTTTGTTTCATGAAGTATCTTGTTTCCCTCACTGAGTGTGGATATGGTTGCTTTGTTGATTTGAGATTGTAACCATCCGAGTCTCGAAGCAATATCCGGTCGTGTGTTGACGGATGCAAATTGGAGTGATCCAACAAGTGCTCTCAATCCTTGACGTTCTTCTTCAGTCACTGGAGCCGTAGGAGTAAGCTTTCGTTCTTTGGCAATCTTAATTGGGTGAATATCCTTCACATACTGTTCTTGACTTACCCAAATAGATTGATCCAGTTTCTGAGAAATCTTCAAACCTGTGAAAGTGAAATCTCTCTTTTTCTTACTACCAAACGGATATTTTCTTTCAAGGTCTGCAAGCTTGGCATGAAACTTGGTGGATCCACAGCACAAACCGTCATCAACGTGTATGCCTATGATACCTTCAGGTTGCTGGTTTTCATTCCTGAGCACAAAACAACATGGATCAAAAGGTGCTGATACAAACCCTAAGGCCTCGAGACTTTGTCTGAGTTCTTGAAACCAAAGGAAGGGTGCATCAACTCGGCCATATGCTCCTTTAAGCAACTGCACAATCTCATTCTGTTTCAGTTTCATTTTTACCCTCATTTCCTCTGGTGGTTCCATGCCCAGCAATCGTGATTGCTGTTCGGTACCCCTCAGGAAGGCAGTCTTGATGTCGAAACTGTGAATATCCCACCCCAAACTGGCCGCATGTTGAAGTATCAAAACCCGTGACAACTTTGACATCGTTGGGCTATCCTTGGGGATTTGATCTACCATTGGATCTTCGAATCCCAACACAACAAGTCGTGCTTTGGCCTTGCGGTTTGGGGTCATTGACGACGACTTGGTGGCAGCACTGGTCTCATCAGCTTCTTTCCAAGTTAATATCCATCTACATCGAAGGATACTTTCTTTTGGGATCTGGTGACGCAAAACCTTTGAAACTGTCTCGGTGGAAAGCCAGCTCTCAACTTCTTTTGTCTTAGCTTCTGCAAACATTTGTCTTTCGGCAGGACTAAGATTGGATATTTTCACTTCACTTCTCTGTCGTTTTGCTGCTGATACCAAGAAAGCCATTTCTGATGGACGGACTTCTTCCTTCCAGTGATTGATATCCCTTTGATTGATGTCAACCTCAAAACGGTATGCTTGATCCTCATGTAGGCTATAGATAGGATATTCTTCTGCATATAAACCATCTTCCTCATCTGAGGTTTCCGGTACTGGGACTTCAAAGGCTTGTGGACTCTCAGGATGTGTATTGTTGGAATTATCATTTGGAGGGTCTGATGGAACTGAGACAATCTCAGGTTCGGTGTCAGGTTGGCCATGGGGGGACTCGGAAACGTTTTGTTCTGAAGACCCATTTGGCATTGGAGCTTGCAAGTTCGCGCCTTGACCCACTTCCGGCATGGCTACATTTGGAATGGCATGGTTCTGGTCCCCTGAGGCATGTGATGGTTGATTGGACATCATGTCATGAAATTGAACTCCACCATGTGCAGGTCTGATTGATGTTTGATTTTGGGATTCCGCTATCGTGGAACTTGGTTGATGTCGGTGTTCTTCCATGGCTGTCAAACTTCTCAGGTGTTCTAGTGCAATTCGGTAAAGTTTATGATGGCGTGTCACCCAAACAACATTCTGACCTTCTTGGATAATCACCTGTAAGGGCCCTATCCATGATCCTTCGGCTTCCCCTTTCTTCTTCCACATCATGACCCATTCTCCCTTCTCATAAAAACCTCTATGTGGCCTGCTGCGTTGGACAATAGCTCGTCTGAGAGTCTGGTCGTTGTCTACCATGGCAAAAGCCTTTCTTGCGGATTCTCTGAGGGCCAGATCCTGTCGAAAGCGCATTCCGTCCGGTTGATTGGACAGAGCAGCAGCATGTGCGGCAACAGTTGGATCGGAAGTCACTGATCCTGGCACTCTCACCCCTTTCCCAAAAACTAGCATTTCTGGAGGAAAACCCCGGTGTCGGCTCCATTGGTTTTTTGTACTAGTCACATGGCTAAGGGCTGCTGACATTTGCTCATAGGTGGTGATCGGTTGTTCCAGGTCAATCTTATTTAACATCAACTGCAATATGCCGCCATGACGCTCCGTGCGGGCATTTTGCCAATGGGCTTCTGCAGCACAGGTTCGGCATTTCACACTGTGTCTCTGGAGGAAGGAACTGAACTCATCGGAGTTCAACTCAGTTGCAGCATCTACACACAGCAGGTTTGGAGGTCCAGCCCAATTGAACCATCCAGTCAATAGTGCTCGGCATGCATGATCAGTGGTGTGACCTGGCGATACAACTGCAGTATTGAACATGGTGCTTTGGTCCAGAAAGTGGTAAAAATGAAATTGACTTCCTTGTGAGTTTGTCCATGTGATACCATCCATTGACACAACATCCCCAAAATCACATGGCTCATGAATTGCACTTGGTCGAGAAATGACTGGACCCCTACTTTCCTGGCACACTGAGCATTGGATGTCTCGGATGGCTTTGAGAATCCGGTCCGGACACTGCAGCTGTCGGCAAAATTCTGTCAGCTTGGCCTGGCCTGGGTGGCCAAGATTCCGGTGCAATTTCAAAAGCCAACTCTGCTCATCGCGGTCAAGTTGTAAGAAATCGGGTCCATGCTTTTGGCTGGCCAAATCGATGATTTGATGGGGAACCTCGGAATCATCAGTTTCTACTGATTTTTCACTGGATTCATGTGAAGCTCTGGAATCGCTGTTACCAATGCCTTCAGGATTATTCGTGGGGAGAAGATTATGATTATTCAGGTTATGGGGTTGACGTTGGTGATTCTGATTGATGTCTGTGTTGGAAATTGCATCAAGGTTTTGTTGTCTTGGAGTGATGCTGGCTGAATCTGAAACATCATCAGCATAACTGTGATGCATGCGTTTTGCAACAGGTTGTTGGCTTGCACCTGAAGTCTCCAGCGGTCGCCGGTGACTGCTCTGGGACGCACTGCCATCACCTGCGGGAACGGGCATCGCTGAGCTTGGCACCTCGGGTTCTTTGACGGATGCAAACACCGTCATGCTAACACGGGCAGATTGCCCCTTTTTTCGAAGACCCCTTTGTGACAGGTTTTCCCAAGCCTCCCATTCATCAACATGCAAATCTTCAGTTCGGCGCTTGATGCAGATTTGTCTACGTAAAGGAGCAAATCCAGGTGGAATGGCTTTGTTGGGTCCCACATACCGATCTGTACCTCGACATAACACGACGTGGCGAACATGATGTTGAGGACACAAAGTCTGAACTTGTTCAAACAATTCACCTGCTTCAACAATTTGGGTTCCAACCCGTGGTGCAATGTGGTCAGCAACTTTCATCGCTGACAACCAGGTGACGGCAGCTTCCATGGGCTCAGCAAATCTCTCTGCAATGGCTTGAGGGCTTAATTTGCCCCCCACTCGACGGCGTTTGGTGGGATGATCATTGGTCGTCTCACCAACCATGGCATAACATCGCTGACCCTGGTCATGTAACATGATCTTGGCAACTTGCTTGGCAAACTTTTGAGGATAAAGCTCGGTGAACTGCGACAACTTCACTGTAACCCCACGTACCTTCGTGTTTCCAGCGATGTTTCTATGGTGGTGTTCACCATTACACAACTTGCCATGCAGGGCAACATGCATGTCCACGGATGTGGAGCAAACTGCCATCCTTTTGCGGATCGGTTCATGTGTCTGTGGATCTCGGAGATCCCCCACCTTGCACATGTCAAACTCATTCCAGAGGGTTCCTTGGAGAATCTCATGCATTCCAGGTGTTTTCATGAGAGCAGATCCTCGTGGTTGTTCCAAGTCAAAATGGTTATGATGTTCTTTCTGAAAACGATATAGAACCACTGCCAAAGAAATCTGCCAGAGTTGTTGCTCTCGTTTGTTCATCACTTGCTCCCACCCTTCAAGAGACCTATTCATGTTGAATTGACTCCACTGACACCATGGGCCACATTCGGGGCTCACCCATACATGTTTTGGCTGTTGAGTGGCTAGAATGGTGAAAAGACGTTTTCGGCCTTCCACAGTGTTGAGGTCTCCTTGCAAACGACCAAATCTTTGTGCTTTTCCTCCAAGTCTCTGCATTTGTTTGGTGAGTTCACTCTCCCCTGAACACATGACCTCGAGCAAATCTAGTCTCGGCTGCTGACATCTTGGCTTGGATCTTACTTGGACGACAATGTCATGCAGTTCTTTGGAAAACTTCCTCACATCTCGCTGGATTCGGGCTTTGAAACTGTTGTGTTCTTGACTAGGAAAAAATTCAAAATCCAAATCCACATTGTGATCATGCATGTGGACATCAGCAGAACAGGAACTCTCTACGGCTCGGTCTTCACACTCAGTTGACGTACATGCATGAGGACCTCCTGCATGGCCATCTCCATGTTCGTGATTCGACTGGCTAACTGCTTGTTCTCCATGGAGAGATTTCCCATCTGTTCTTCCACCTGTTGAATCTTGGCTGGGGCAGGCATTTCGAAGAAGGTCTCCACTGGATCCAGTTCGGAGATCTGATCCCATGCATCGGAATCGGCTGAGACTGAGGCTCGGCACTCCTTCATCTTCTCGGAGTTCTTGACCTGGTTCTTGGTCATGCTTTGGGCGATCTCGTGATCCAAGCGCTTCAAGACGTACTGGACATACATCTGGTGCTGGGACTTTGGGCTCTTCTCGTATGTCCGAATGAACCAATCGGTCCATGAGTGGTCCTCGAACACTTCCGGAAAAGCTTGTCCCACTTTGGCCTTGCCGAACGAGATTCGTTCTTTGGCCAGTTGTTCCAGTGTCATCTCCTGGATGCGTCCCATCTCGTCCTTGGACTCGATCTTCCTCTGTCCCTCGCGGTACTGAGACAACTTGGTGGCAACGCTGGACATGGTGACCGTCACTGATGTGCTGAGCGTCAGTGTCACACAGGCTACTGCTTGGTTGTGGAGAGCTCGGTTGAGCATCATGAAATTGACTGGGCATGTTCATGTGATTTCGATCGTTTACACTCTCTGGCATCAACCCTGTGGCATGCTGATTTTTCTGACATGATTTTCCACCTGTGACCTGAGTGACCTCTTCATGTGAAAACCCTGGACTCACACTCTCGGATAACTCTGGCATCGGGCTGCTGGCTGTGTTTTGGACTGGCACCTGAAGACAAGTAAATCCGGTCGCACTAGATTTCTGTACTGTTGGCTCTTCATTGGGTCCTTGCCAGAGTTGACTGATGTCCATGAGGAACAGATTTTTGCTGGATTGAGATACCATCAGTTCCTTGTTCAGTGATTTACTCCATAAAACTCCAGTATCCGTGTCAATTACCGCTTTGATCCCTTTGAGAAACGAACTTGACAACAAAAAAGGAGTCTTACCTGGAACAATTGCTATGCGAAACTTGGCATGACCCAGCGGCAACAACAAAGCATGTCTACTGGTGAGAGTCTGCTGGTTCCCAAACCTGAACGTCAAGTTGCAAGTGGTCCGCTGAATTTGGCTTTGGATCTTTTCAGGCAGGTTTTGAATCAGTTCCTTTACTTGGGCATCACCTATCACAGTTTGGGAAGCTCCAAGATCAACTATTCCTACAGTCCCTGCTGTTGCAAAATGTACATCACAGATCTGGGTGTCTACGGCAGCTTCGGGCGGGTGCAATGGCTTCAGAGACAGTTGCTCTGATGCGGGACAGGCTGGCACGGATGTCAGAGGCTGTTGCTCTAACTCTGATCGGATAGGCACGCAGGCTTCAGATGACTTCTTGGTCCTGTCGTTGCGTTTCCACTGGTGGTGAAAACGTTCGGCAAACTGAAGCTTATTCATCATCACTTTACCCCGATTATCCCCAGTCCTATCGCTACCCCTTTGAAAAGTCATTACCCCAAAACAGACTTGGTCGGCTGGTTGGTCCTGATCATCCATGATGGAGAAATGAGCAATCTCCTCAGGCACTTCTTCGGCAATGACCACGGAGGTCGGGGCAACATTGGCTGCTGGATTGGAGGTGGAACTACTGGAATTTCCACCGGCACGTTGTGGGCATTCATTCTTCCAGTGTCCCTTCTGCATACAGATCCGGCAAAACGAATTGGCGATACGTCGTGCCAGAGAACCTGGTCCAGAGAAAGGCGTCTTGCCTTTGCCTTTCCCCTTACCCTTCTTTCCAAAACCCTTGTCAGAGCGGCGATTGATGGGCCAAAATCCACGGACTTTCACCCTCTCACTCAAACGTCGTCTGGCCTCCTGGTAATTGGAGTAGTAAGCAGCTAACTCGGAATCTGACTGGATTGTTTCGGAGATAGAATCTTCGAATTGCATCACCAGAATTGCATCCTCGTCATTCTCAGCGGCCAGTGTTTCAAGGATGTCATCCTCACACAGATCGTCTTGCAGGACGAAAGCTTCATGGTCAACCTCAGGGTCATCATCCATGTGCAAAGCAGTGTGATCATATGTTTTCCCGACCTTGTCTCGTCGGATTCCGGTGTAATCTTGAAAGAACCCTGATCCCAGGAGTCGAATGGCAGCGGTCACACTCTTCATGGTCAGGGAGCTGTCTGAGGCATCTTTTGATTCTACAATTACCCTCTTCTTGTCTTCCGGAGGCAATTTGCTCCCCCGGAGAACAATGTAGGCTTGCAGTTCACTGAGAGACATCTTGCGAGACAGCAATTCTGTCCAGATCACATCACACCTGGACAGATATGAATCGGAGCTTTCATCGGCCTTCTGGATGCTGCGAAACAGTGCACGTTCCGCCAGTTCAAACTTCTTCTCAAGAGGCACCTGTCCCCAGGTACCCCCAACCACTTCTACCAATCGCTTGATACCCTTTTCATCATTTGTGAGTACCTCTTCTCGGAGCAGCTGCAATTTCTGGTATGCCGTGCCTTTGCACCCCAAAATCAGTCTAGTAGCTAACTCATTCAACTTGGATGGTGGCCATGTATTCAAAAGAAGTTCAACCTTGCTCGTCCAGATGTCCACACTGTCTGTTGACGGATCAAAACTCTGAACCAGGCTTGCAAGCTCCTTTGGAACAAAAGAGGCGGAGTCCCCGCCTGATGTTTCACCCATTTCCAAACAGAGTTCACCTCCTTGTCCTTGTCCTCAAAGATCTTGGAGCTAGGTCCCTGCTGGAGCGGTCGACCAGGCGCTCCGCTACCAATCTCAAGATTGGTAGGGAGGCCGATCCTTGAGAGATACCCAAATCCCTCTATATCCAACAACTGAAGGAAGATCCACACTGAGATGTAGTTGAAAGATCCCTGATCTGTAAACACCTATGTGCCCTGCACAAACACCAATCGTAGCACTTTTTATGGCTGACAGCGAAGCTCAAAATGTCCCTCCCTCCGCTGGGCAATGCCTGAGCCCACCCTTGAGCTACGGAGAGTCAGGTAGCTGATGATCTCGAACAGGCATGCATTGAACATCATTGCTTTGAAAATATACATATATATATATACATAATATAAATACATACACACAGATGTATATATATATATACATACATTTTTTCCACATCTGACAGATTGAAACTGGTGCATAGATTTCATCCCCAAGAGGCTGGGGTGTCACCTGGAAGAGGGACGGTTTTCGTTGGAAGATCCGCAGATTTCGTTGGACAACTGCAGGAAATTCCTAGGAGATGATCATAGGAAACATAGGAAACTTGGTCATTTGATGTAATTTTTATGTTCTAAAGTCGTAGTTTGTTGCTATCCGTTAACATCAGCTCATGGTGAGCTTTTGGCTTTCGCTACATCCAAATGGGGTCAGTGACGACTTCAGGGTGATAAAAAAGGGGCCACGGATCACCCAGGAGAAGCCGGTGGCTTTGTTTGCCGTCTACGATGGACATGTTGGGCCAAAGTGACGTGGTTTCCGAAGTGGGAATGGTTTCAGGGGGGTCATAGGCTTACAATATATATATATATACACTGTATATCTCTCTCTCTCTATTAAATATATATATATCTACAAGTTATTATGTATGTAAGTTATTGTAGTTTAAGTATATATATGCCACAGTCACAGGAGATATGTATTAAACAGGACATACATAGCGTGGTGTACCTATGTATATATGCATATGTACATTTCTTTGTATGCATGAATGTATGTATACATACGTGTATATATATATATATATATCTGTATGAGGGACCTTCAGGTCATATTCTGCAAGTGCTTCTTCCCCAAGACATATCAACACAACATGTTTAAATCCATTAAATATGTTTTTTAAAAGAAGTTTTAATGCTCTGGCACACTCTGTAGCATTAACGCTTTTAAATCCATTAAATCAATGCTTGTCCGGTGGAGTCTGGGTCCACTGGAGGATTAAAACTTTTAATGTTTTTGGCACTTTTTAATCTATTAAATTTTGACAGTTTCAAAGTTGCGAAAGTTTTCATGCTCTGGAGAATTAATACTTTTAAACCCATTAAATAGTTCAGGCAGCAAGGAGGAGCTTCTCATTCGTCGCTCGAATGCGAAGAGCGTATGGCCAAGGCTCTTTGTCATTTCAAAGGAGCAAGGGAACTCCGCTTGCAAACTGTACCCTGCTCACACAAGGCATTGGTAGCCCATCGTGGAAGACGTATTTATGTCCTCAGCTCTCCAATCTCTGCGGAGCAGCTTGCTATTGACGTTGGAGCGCAATGAAGAGTACGTCTGTGTCTCTGCCGATGCCACATTGAAAGTTTGCATGGCGCTGAAAGGGCAAGCCTCCTACACAGCAAAGGCCGATCTCTGCAACAGCGCTTGCGTCGGGGATTCGGAAGCTTTGAGACGGCTTCTTACAGTCAGGGGCCGGACAGAAGCTGTGCTTGGCCTATCATAATCCCGATTTGAGACCCCCCCCCAAAAGGAGCCTATGGTAAAACAAGGAGAAATACATAGCGAAAAATAAGGTGATTGAAAAAAGAGCATTTAAGGACAACTAGTAACAAATAATGACAAATAAAGAAAATTAAAGGACCAGATACCCACACATGTCAACTTCTTCCAATAATCACCAAGCAGATGTGAAAATGAGATGGGAAAGGCAGGAAAGAGAAACGGCATGGGCCGGAAAGATGGTGGGAAATAGTAGTAAGTGAAATGTGTGTCAAAAAGTTGTGTGTCAAAGCATTAATGTGTGTGAAAGAGTTGTGTGTGACAATGTTGTGTGTGAAGGAGCTGTGTGCGACAGAGCGGTATGTGAAGGACACTGGATGTCGCCAAGTGCCACGCCTGCCACAGAAACAGCCGCGACGACCACGGCGCCACCAGAGCCAGCCCAGTGCCATAAGTGCCACGCCTGCCACACAAAGTGAGGGTCGATGTCACCAAACGCCACACCTACCGCGCAAAGTCAAGGTCGAACTCAGCAAGTGCCGCACCTGCCACACAAAATGGACGTCGATGTCGGCAAGTGCCACGCCTGCCACACAAACAGCCCTGGCGACCACGGCGCCAAACGGGACCCAATCGCGCCACCAGAGCCAGCCCAGTGCCATGAGCCCACTGCCTGCCACACAAAGTGAAAGTCGATGTCGCCAAGTGCCACGCTTGCCCCAAAATGGAAGCGCACAGTGGCACCAAAATGGAAGCCCATAGTGGGCCGGGGGGTCGCTTGAACATTCGCGTTTTTCTCGAGTGAGCGTTGCGTTTTTGATCGCTTGTACGTGGGCTATGTGGCTCATCCCCCACTCTTGACATGTTGCACAGAGGGGGTCTTGTACTGTTCTTGATGCCTCTGAGACAGGGTCCATGGAACTTGTTGCAGTTGTTGACACGTTGCACATGCCCGCTTATGGTCAACACAGGAGTTGGGGGTTTTATTTTAACGTTCTTGACGCCTTTGAGACATGGTTCATGGAACTTGTTGCCATTGTTGACCTGTTGCACATGTCCACCTATGATGTTGCACATGCTTGCTTATGCTTAACACGGGCTGCTGGGGGGGGCTTATAATGAACTTGACGCCTTTGAGACAGGGTCAACAGAACTTGTTGCCGTTGTTGACATGTTGCACATGCCCGCTTATGTTCAACCAGCGTAAGATAGACACGCCTTGAACACAACGTCGCAGATGGAAAAAGCATGGCTCTGCTGTTTGCACTGATGATGGATGTCAATCGTATGATTTCCCTTGTTGACAGCCCTGTCCGCGTCGTCCCCGTGTGTCCAATTCTAAAGTTGTGCTGCCCATGTCCCCGTTGCCCCCATGTCCCCATGTCCCCCCATGTTCCCCCATGCATGTCCCCATGTCCCCATGTCCCCCCTGTCCCCTAAGTGTCAAGCCCTAAAGGTGAAAAGGATGATGAAATGTGCTTGTTTTGTTGGTGCCTCCATGTCCCCATGTCCCCGCCCCCCTGTCCCCTAAGTGTCAAACCCGCAAGGTGTGAAAAGGTTGATGAAATGTTATGTGGTTCTTGTGCTGGTGCCCCCAATGCCCCGAATAAGTAAACCCCGAAGGTGAAAAGGATGATGAAATGTGCTTGTTTTGCTGGTGCCCGCATGTCCCCATGTCCCCATGTCCCCGCCCCCCTGTCCCCTAAGTGGTAAACCCTAAAGGTGTGAAGGGTGTCTAAGTGTCTAATGTTCAAGTGATCCGCAACCTAAGTGATCCCTAATGTTCAAGTGATCCAAACGGCAGTGTCCAAGTGATTCTGGCGCCAGCCCCAAGTGGCAGAGAAGCCAAAAGCCACAAAAGCTACAAAAGCCAAGAAGCCACAAGAGCGGCAAACGCCGCAAAAGCGGCAAAAAGCCACCACAGCCACACAAGCCAGCAAGCCAAGCTCAAAAACCAAAACATTGAAAAGACACATAGTCCTCCACGATAATTATGAGCCTGAAATCAAATTATTCTAGGGTAGTTATGGATATTTACCCCTACTAACCATCATTCTAGCGATGTCACGGGAAGGGAAGGGATGGGCCAGCGAGGAACCGATGAACGCCATGCAAAAATCGATGAACAGTGCAAATCTGAGACTTTAGTACAATGTTTTGCGATCCCACATGGCCTCAACGGAAATGATGGGTTCGTATTGGGTGCGCAATTTCGAAAAAGAGATCAAACAGCTCCATTCTTGGCCAGTAATTCCAGGCGCCGGCGCTTCTGCCAAGAGCCCGGCTGGCCAAGGGGGGAATGGGGAGCCAGACACGTTTAGTATTGACAATGGCGATGTCCTTAACGTCATGATCATGCCATGATCATCCAAGTCATTGACCACCCAATACACGACATACGGGGTGATGATTGGGTATTCCACCACATGGTCCAGCCATTGATCTTCGAACAACTATTAGAAATCTTTCCACGCACCCCTGGTTTCTACAGCCGAGCGCTTCAGGCACTGGAAGTGCTGCAAAAAGCGGTGGCACTGAACCGCCGCCTCCACCAGGAAGTTGGTGAGGCAAGGGTGTGACCTCTGGGTTGGGAAAATGTTGTCGCATATGGTTTTTCTAGTTCCCAAAAGCGAAAGAATTGCTACCATGAAACTGCTCTGTGCAAAAGCTTCTGTGCGTAAAAGCTCCTGCGTGTAAAAGCTGCTCTGTGTAAAGACTTCTCTGTGTAAAAGCCTCTGTGTGTAAAAGCTTTCTGTGTGTAAAGGTGTGTGCGTGTAAAAGCTTCTCCGTGAGTGTAAGATTCTTTGTGCAAAGGCGTCTGTGTGTAACAGCTTCTGTGTGCAAACGCATTGGTTTCTGCGTGTAAACGCTTCTGTGTGTAAAAGCATCTGTGTGTGAGTGTGTGAGAGGGTCTGTCGGTAAAAACTGCTTTGTGATGCTTTGTGTAAAAGCATATGTGTGTAAAGGCTTCTGTGTGTAAAAATTGCTCTGTGTAAAGGACAAGCATCTGTGTGTAAAGGTTTCTTTGTGTGTGTTTTTTTTGCATAAAGGAAATAAGTTTGTGTTTCAACTGTGTTTGTGGAACAAACTGGGGTGCTGGCTGTGAACCCTAGGCTTGTTGAGACTTGTAGGCTTTTTTGATTCAGACGTTGCAAGTCGCGGTTCACTGGCGTCATCTTCAGGCTAACATGAGTTCATAATCAGCAGTTTTGCCTGGAAAAATGTGTGATTTCGCGTCACCAGGAACCGTGCATCAACAACTTCATTCATCCTTCATTATCTTTCATCATCATTCGCCTGTTCTGAACCGAAGGTTCGTAAGGTTTTACAGTTTAGTTGACTTAGCAGTACTTGATGCTGCTTTTAAAATTCCTTCTGTGTATGCTTCCTTTCCTCTTGCTCTGCTCCTTTCCCTTTTTACTCTCCGCGATTGTTTGCCATTTCCCCGCGCTTCTTCGCCCTGGGTGTTGCCAGTGTTTGGTGTTGTAGCGCGCTTGTTATATATATATATTGCTTTGGGATCTTAAGTTCCCTTTTTGCAATATATAAGGGTTTATATAAACCCTTTTTGGCAGCTGCGGTTTGCAACATTACTTGGGGCAGTGCACAAATCGAGAAGTGTCCAATTCCCTATTTGTTTTTTTGGTTTCAGGTGACACGCACAAATCAAGAGTGTCTCCTAACCTCCATGTGAAGTGCATCAAAAGTTTTTTAACGACACGCACAAATCTGAAAATCCACTCATTGTTGTTTCAAGGTTTGAGCACGTTCAAGTTTATGTACGTGTGTTTTTACGTCTCAAGGTGGTGGGTGGGTGGGGACCAAATAAATTTTTGGTCCTTCTGAAAGTCCTCAACCCTCCCGCCCACACCAAATTGGATTTTCAAACTCCATATGTCTGCAGCGGCTCGGGGCTGTATTCTATTTGAATCATTGCGACCAAAGCACTCATATTCTCGTGTTCATTATCTTCTTGCTGCATTGAGTGGATTTACCGCCGGTTTCATTACCTGCTTTCTCTGGCTGCTCTGTGGCGATCAGAGCTATGAGGAGGTTGTCAAGGGGTCATGTTCAAGTACTTCTTAGCCAATTGCAGCAATTTATGCTTCTGAAGTGGACCTGCCAGAACTTGTTATTTGCCTTAGACGAATGCCGAGATACCCTTGAAGATCATGGCCATGATCTCTCCAACCTTGATATTCATTTACAATTGGCTCGACACCACCTCAGGCAATTTATTGTGGCTTGCCAGGCTTCCATTGTTGCCTTGGAACTGCGCCTGCAAGTTTTGATTTCCCCGTAGGGGGGTGGATGCTCCAAGCAATGTGCATCCTCCTTTTTCTTGTCTTGATGGAAATACAGCTTCAATCCGAAGGGGAATGTGATGCTGCTTTGAGACTCAGATGTGTTACCCCCAGCGCTCTCTGAGGCGTGTCAAAAAGGATGTGGGCTTTGTGCGAGTGAACTCATTCAATCATTTCAGAAGTCATTTCACGTTGCGGCACTATTTTATCCATTTGTGATTTTTTGATTTTCGGCGAAAGTTTATCCGATCCAATTTCGACGTGGCGCGTATCACGTAAACATTATATTGTTCCCTTCATAGGATGTCATACTTCCTATATTGTTAACGCGCTGTATGGAGCGTTCTATGTCTAATGCAGGAATTTTTCAACATAACTGTAAAACATCCGTCGTGTCATCATATCTTCCTTTCCATCCTCTTGTGACCTACTCTCTCCTGCTTTTCTTTCGGGTCACGCTGTCGTCTAGTTTTTCAATGCTTGTGTGGGGGCAAACTGCTGCATAGTGAGTGCACATAGCGCGCCGCCAGCATGTTCGGTGGAAAAAAACTAGCTAAAGCTGTTTGAACATCAGGTGACTGCGCAGGTTCGATGGCTGGAAAGTGAGAACGCTGTCCTGAGGAACATGAGACGCTTGGTTGCAGGGGGCTCAACACCAAAATCTGTCAACAATATGGATTTCTCAAGAGAGAAATTAGCTACCAATGGCATGGCCGGCCGCCAAGCCCATCATAAATTGGCACAAACTGTGGGACATTTAGCGCTCTGGGCTTTATAATCAATCAAGAATGACTTGATACTGAGGTTGTCATTGTTGAGATGTATCCAATCATGGAGCTCTACTTTGCAGCGCTTTGATTTCAAGCCCATTAGTCCTTGCACCTATGGTCATTGGATTTCTTTCTTAGTTCGGGGCCACTAACCCTCACAAAAGCTGGCTTCAAGATTTCGATCATTGCCGGTGCAAGTGTTGCAGACTTTGCCTGTGAAGCAAAGTGTTTGCATTTGTCCCCGAATAGCCGTACTTATTGAGATTACTGTCAAAACATGAACTCATTTTTTTACCGTCGCGTCCGGCACTGAGTCCCGGAAATTTACCCAGAGGACGTGGACGATGCCACTCACTTCCAGATCTGAGCCGTCAGGTTTGCTGGCACAAAAAGGTGCTTCGAATTCGGGATGAAGGCCTGCGAATCTGAAGGTTGGGCCTGTGCAATACAGCAAGCAACCAAATGAAAACACCATCATTCTATTGTCATTACGTTGAGTGCATTTGAGTGCAAGATATGTCAAGACACCCGTTGGATTTAAATTTGCAGGTGTGTCCCACTGGTGAGATTGAATCGCTGCTTGCTTTCTTCTCCAGTTCGGTGGGAAACGGATGAAGATAGAAGGCACAGACATTAGCTCAAAAGTTGAACCAAAACAGAATAGTTCTTAATGAAGGAAACCCACCGCCAATTAGAACTTAGCTGAACCTAAGGTGTTTCGCCACAAAATGCAACCGTGAAACGTTGCAGATCGATCAGCGGGTCTACCAAGAATCACCGCGACCGAACATGTGCTTTTTTTTCTTGGAAGGGCCTTGAAAACTTGAGTAGGATCTGCTTTAACATCACTACATACTACTACTTCCTTTCTTCAAAAGGATCTTGAAGGACTTCTTGTCAAATCGGTCGATTTTCGTAGTGAACCTTATCCAGATAGGAGGCATCGTAGACGGGCTCCGTTTATTGAATTTGTACCTGCTACACCTCAGGCACATCTTACGTTCTGGTGTGTCCTGTGTGTTTTTCCCTTGCTGGAGGAAGCATGTCCCTGAAAAAGTGGCAGGATGTCAGTTTGGTGGACCTATTTCGGATTGACCTGAATCTATCTGGATGATCTTCGCAAGCGAAACTCCAAGGTGTCAAACCCTAAAGGTGAAAAGGATGGTGAAATGTGCTTGTTTTGCTGGTGCCCCCATGTCCCCATGTCCCCGCCCCCCTGTCCCCTAAGGGGTAAACCCTAAAGGTGTGAAGGGTGTCTAAGTGTCTAATGTTCAAGTGATCCGCAACCTCATGTTCAGGTGACCCTACAAGACTCTCAGTGATCCCTAATGTTCAAGTGATCCAAACGGCATGTCCAAGTGATTCTGGCGCCGCCCATAGTGCTCCCAAAATGGAAGCGCACAGGTACCAAAAATATATAATGCTAACAAAAAACACATGGAAATTGAAATCGTCCGCCCCCAAGTACACCACAAAGTGTCTCCTCGTCACCTGACACCGTCTGCAGAGGCCGAACCCCTTAAACCCTTTCTATAAAGTGGCCTGACCGGGTTACACTCCTGAAAAAAACCAAATCGATGTTGGTTGGATCACTTTATACCCGCTCCCGAGCAGAGAAATATAAAGTGGCCTGGCCGGGTTACACCCCTGAAAAAAAACAAAATCGATGTTGTCAACGACTTCGATATCGATATTTGTTTGGCTGTGGGTTTCATTCGGTTTCGATGTTTTTTGGGTTCCCCATCGATGAGATCGATGATATTCCCCCACAATTCGAACGTGGCCCGTCAACTTTATACACAGTCATGTCGATGTTTTCATCGGCGTGATGAAAAGCACCATCGATATTACAACGATCGTTGTTTACTGGGTAATCCATGTTATAGTACCACTGTTCGACACAAGCATTATTGTTTGGATGTTGCACATCTCAATTTATAGTAATGGGAAACGTTCACAAATACCTTCAAACACCAACATCGACTTTTATGTTTTTACGTGGCCAGGCGACTTTATACAGCGTTGGTTTGTGACTTTAGAACCAAAACATGTTGGTTTTCTACTTTATACACGCCCATAATGTGGCCATTCCAGGTTATACCAGGCTATTCTGTATAGACTCGGCCCCAATGCATCTAGCGGGCTATACATGGGGGATGATTTCGATAGATTACCGTGTTCGTGTTTTCAGAGGAAAACATGTGCCATTTCAGATGACGTGGCGCGGCGCTGTGTTTTTGAGCCACATGCAACGTGGAGAACCAACCACGTGAAAAAAACAAATTCCAGATAAACAATAGTGTTACTATTAGCGGTGCAACACCCAGGTACATTGCACATGTAAGAACCAATCGATTGCACCTATATTGGCTATAGTTTCTGTACCTAATCAGGTTCGGCGCCAAATGTATGCCTTACATGGTTTTTCATCCTTTGAAATTGTTTTGGCATGTGGTCAAAGTATGTCATAATTGTCACCACGATAAAATAATGGTTCATCTTGTTGTGATGAGAGTTGCTACCAATGCTCGGGTTGTCAGTTTAGAATCATTTTGACATGTTTTTGACCATTCCATGTGCCGAATTTATCCGGGCTTCAACTTCATGACTTTGGCGGCAAAAAGGAACTGTTCCAAGAGGCGCGAAATATACCCCAACCCAATAGTCCCCTGCACATGTATATATATATAATATAATATAATATATATATATATATATACATACACATTTTCCCCATAGATTCACATATCATATCATATCATATCATTTCATATCATATCATATCATTTCATATCATATCATATCATATCATTTCATTTCATATCATATCATATCATATCATTTCATATCATATCATATCATATCATTTCATATCATATCATATCATATCATCTCATATCATTTCATATCATATCATATCATATCATATCATATCATATCATATCATATCATATCATATCATATCATATCATATATACAGATATCTTTGTAACTGCAGTTCTCTTGGTTTTCGGGTTCGATCTCAGATCCGTCTCAGGTGCTCCGAGTTTTCAGCGCAAAATTTTCACAAGAAACTGCTGCCACGACTCTGCAAAACCACCACAGAGGAACAGACACTCGGCCTTCGTAGGAACACCGGGGGCCTTTTGGGTCTCAGAGATATGCAACCGACTATTCCTGGAACCCCCAAAAACAACCACAAAATCAGAAAAACGATTCTGTTTTGTTCAACATGGTTGTTTGATGATAGTAAGGTCTAGATTCCCGGCCACATGGTTGGAACTGGTATTGTGATACCAATGCCATCTCTGACAGTCTCTCGTGTGCATTTGGGACCTGACCTGGGTATACATCCTGAAGATAGATGTTAAAACAATGCTCACTCCATCGGAGCCCGTGTTTTTCTTCCCATGATCCTGGATTGATGTGGCAACCAACCCCAAGACTGGTGGGTATCCTGGCTTCAATAATCTGATTCAACTCATGAAGGTATGAATTGGGGGTTTTTGTGATCACCCCCAACTTGGAGCCCTCGGAGCCCTCGGAGCTCGGAAATTCTGGGCACTCCGGGGCAGTCCTGGCTGTCCGTCTGAGGATCAAGGACAGCTTGGTTCAAGCCCTGGCAGACTTAGACCAAGAGTTCGTCAGCAAATTTCGCACGGAAACTCCGAAGTTCGATTCGTGGAGGGCTTGGTGAGTTGATAAGTTGATAGGTTTCTAACGTGAAGGGAAACAGGATTTAACATGATCATACTTGTAGGTCACAAATTCCAAACAACATCCCCAGGGTCCTCCTCTGGAACTAGATCTGACCCAGACGTGATTACATGTGCACTTGGCTTGCTTCATGAATCTGCTGATAGTGTCAGCCTTCCCGACTCTGGAATGATCCTGGAAATTATGAGAACCCCTTAACTGGGGTGAATGTGGTGACTTTGACCAGGGGAACATCCAAGTTATCCACCCTTTGGGGAGTGATCCTCCTATTTTTTGCTGACTACCATTTGGTGATCTAACATAGCTATGGGAACCGGCCCATTTGTAGATGATTTACCTACGAACAAATGGCGATTTTCCAAAGCTATGTTAAACTGCCAGAGGGTAAATCTTATTATATCCCCATTCCATTCCCATGATATTCCCGTTGTTGTTGGTTAAATCACAATTATATAGATTTGTAAAAAAAACATTTCAGCCCTATAACATCCCATTCCATTTTCATTTCTATCAAATCCCATAAAATTCTTTCTAAAATCCCATTGAATCCCTATAAAACACCATTGCTTCATAATTTTTCATGCCCCCTCCCCTCCCCAGCCACCATCAGGATCGCTCCGGGTGCTGCGTACAACTGGCCCTTCTGGTGGGTCGGAAGCTGTGGCTGGCGCAACTGGGCTCTGGCGGCGCTCTGCTCTGCGAGGGCGATCAGGGGGGCTTCAGCGCCTTTGAAGCCGACATGGAGATGGAGGAAGAGCGGATTCAGCAGCTGGGGCGTTCTTTAGATGGCCCCGAACGCCGTAAAAACATGGGGGGAATATGGGGGAATATCATACAAAAAATATCAGAAAATATGCACTAAAGCTATGAAACTAACATCAACGATATTTAAGAATGGGAGGTATGTAACTAACATCAACTAAGAATCATGGAGAAAAGCTGGGGCGGATATAAAATCGCATAAAAATAACATCAACTAAGAATATGAATATGATGCAGATATAACCAGCAATACTCGGGATACTTTCTTCGGATTGGTCCAGATGGCCAGATGGGAGTTTTGGTTTCGTTTGAAGCCAGGGATGATGAAGAATCACATGGGTGTGTTTGGAAACGCAGTACCCAACAATTCGTTGGATCATCATCATCATCATCATCATCATCATCATCATCAGCATCATCGTCATCGTCATCGTCATCGTCATCGTCATCGTCATCGTCATCATCATCACCATCATCATCATCACCACCATCATCATCATCATCATCATCATCATCACCATCATCATCATCATCACCACCACTGCTAAACTGAATAGTTGGGGATATACCTTATTTTCAGACACACCCAAACGGTAGTTCAAGGTTGGAGAGAAACATCGGAGAGACCCGAGATGCTGGGGATGTTGGGGGGATCTCGGCAGATCAACTCCAACACCAGGGGCCAGTTGGAATTTGGCGATGGGGACGACCCTTAAAAACGAGGCTGCGTCCTACTTGTAACACTACTTAATCTGTTTGGTGGTTTGGAACATGGCTGCTATATGAATTTCCATATATTGGGAATTTCATCATCCCAACTGACGACCTCATATTTTTCAGAGGGGTTCAAACCACCAACCAGTAATCAGTGGCCGAATTGCCATACTTGTAGAACTCAAAAATCCCCACTACCCATAAAAAATTGGCAACTATCAGCTCTAAAGATAACATTGTCCCATATCCCGTAATATATACCAATTGATATATCAATTACATATATATATATATATATCTTTGTACTAGATTATTCATGAGAAAACATCATGAATCGTCATTGTATACACATTTCCAAGTCGATTTCATTGATTAACAACTTTTACTTAATAAATCCCCATGAAACAAAGTAAATAGGTAGACTATGAAAGAAACATCACGAAACTATACTTATCTTCACAATATCCCCATGTCATATCCCCATTACAATCATTACATCACAGTGATAGCCCGGTGCCCAAGGAAGGCCGGAGGACAATTGTTGGAGGTAGCGCCTGGAGTGCGCCACGCAACTCGGACACTGCGACATTGGAACTGATGGGTTAAAGGAAAAAACACCTTGGATTTATACATGACTGGTTGGTGGTTTGGAACATTTTTTATTTTCCGTTTCATATATGGGAATGTCATCATCCCAACTGACTTTCACTCCATCATTTTTCAGAGGGGTTAGCAGCAACCACCAAGCAGATGAAAAATGTGACTCAACCAGTTATAACATCGGGACATATTGGGACATGATCTTTTTGGGGATCCCTAAATCCCAGCGAGAACAAACCACTGAAATATGTGTTGCTTCGGTATAAATTGCGTCAACATTTTCCCCACAATACCTTGGTATTCTCGCCAAATTCTTGGTATAATGGTAAAATTTCATAAATTTCCATATCCCCAGCATATACTGTATTTACCTTGGTTTATACACAACTATATAACAGTCCGATGGTTTTTTGTTCAAAAAGATCCCAGGTTGCCTCGGCGGAGTTCGAACAGCGTCTCAAGGAGCGCCAGAGGAGTTTTTTTCCAGTTGGAACAATGACTTTAACATGGAAAACTCATGAAATATGGGGTATATTATGGGTATAGAATGGGGTATAGTAATGACTTTCAGTTGTTGTAATAGGGGCATAGTATGGCTATAGATGGCTATAGAATGGGAAACAACTGATCAAGAACATGATTTTCTTCTGTTGGATCAATTCCGGTTGATGGTTATAGGTGGCCATACTAAACAAGGATTTGTATATACATAGATTTGACATTTCTGGTAGATGAGCTATTCAAACATTCTGATATATGGGAGTATATTATGCGATATGTATATATATATATACATACACAACAATAGCATATCTTTATGTTGATTGGCTATTTGATGGCGAAATGAGCAGCATCTATAGGATTCTTTTTTACTATGCTATGGGGATACAACTGACAAATGATGGTTGGATGATCGGCTCGGGGCTTTACTACCCTTGATAAGCCTTGAGAACTCGTGAGCCGGGAATCAGGGACTGGGTTCGTCCGTTTGCAGCATGATATCAAGTGGCTGTTGACTTTAAGCACATCATATTGTGGATACAAACAACAATTTAGGGTATATGGGTTTGTCCAAAAGCTGGATCTACGAATGGGGAACGATGACGATGATGGTGATGGTGATGATTGACTGTCATCCAATGGAATTGGGATTGGTCCATTAAAAAAAAATGATTTGGCACTAGTGCGGCGCTGCATTTGTGGGTGTTGAACATCACTGGACTCAGGAACCGACATCTTTGTGGAGCTGTTTCTCCATGAACTGCACCCGGGTCATGTCGTGGACCGTGGCAGGAGTATCGCATTCAGATGGCACAAGGCTTGGGCTGCACTTTGGCTCCTCCCAGCACTTCGCCCTTTTCGCGTGCGTGGCTGGGCGGCATCCGTGTAAAATCCGCGTCGCTGATGAAATTCATGTGCAGCGAGTCACCGAGGCTGGGAAATCGCGAACTGAAACCTATGGTAAGTGCAAAACCTGAGGCAGGTGGGTTACCTTCTAGTTGTCCTTGCTGAGACGGATAGTGAACTTTTGGATTGGTAGAAACCACTAAGCTGATTTGATATTTTTCCTCCCCAAGAAAATGGGAAGATGAACAGCAACTGACAGGGATTGACGGCAACATGTATTCGGGTGGATGAATTTCAATCCCATGAGTCACGATTTGAAGATGGTATCACGTACAGCAGCACTCAAAGAAGCCAGAAATGCTTAGACATGCGTGTTTTGTGCATTCCCATCACAAGAGCAGGGGTTCCCATTTTCGTCTTTTTGGGAGAGTTCCATCTGTCCTCTGCCCAGACATGTGATCTTACGCCTAGCGGCTTAGCGAAAATATCCTGCTTGGTTAGTCATACTGTGGGGTTATTGACCTACCCTGTTTCTTGAGGCTTGTGAGCCAGGCCATGATTCACGGGATACCCTATAGGGGTAAACTATATAACATATAGATGTGGAAAACCCACCATTTGTAGATCATTTTTTTAGGGAAACCATTGGTTTTCCACATCGAACTGTTGGTTTACGCAACCGGGTACCTCTTGACCAACCTATTCCATGGGATGGAAAACAGGGTCCCTGGGTTTTTTTGCGGCGCCAGGTTCATGTCTTGTCCCTGGAGCCAAGTCACACAGCCTTGGCGCTATACTGTGTGGAGTCCCATCCGGTAGTGGGGATGGGTCAATGGGTCAGGCTGTAGCCGCACTGCAAGCTGAGTGTTTTTTTTGTTCCCAGGTTTGATATTGGGGGGTTTACCCTCTGGTAAACAGCCACATAGCTATTGAAAATTACCATTTATAGTGGATTTTCCCATGAAAAATGGTGATTTTCCATAGCTATGTTAGTCATTTCCAGAGGGTACCAAAATATGGGGACACCCCCAAAACCAGTGGTTTTCCTATAAAAAAAATCACCCATGTTGGGATGAATTTGGGGTACTTTCCCAGGACTTCGGAAACTGTCTCCGAGGCGATGGCATCTCAGAAGTGATGAGTTCAGAGGTGCCGATCAATGGCTGAGGCGAAATTTCAGGTACCCTCTGGTAAAACATACAAAAAACCTATGGAAAATCACAATTTTTAATGGGAAAACTCACGATTAATGGCCATTTTCAATAGCTATGTTAAATTACCAGAGGGTATGTCCAATTCTTGGTGTTTCAGTCTCTTTCAAGAATGAGGGGTGTAGGCGCTTGTTGACCCATGCTCACCTTCGTCACTCAATTTCGTGTTGACGATGGTTTGATCTAGCATGCACTGTTGATTTGTGCTGATTTCAGGCCTACGAGGTTTGTAAACTTGAACAGTCGGCATTTAGGCATGTTCACTGCTCCCAATCTTAGGCTGATTTGAGCAGATATTTGTTTGATCCACTAACAATTTAATTTCATACACAACAATTGAACTGTGTCCTATACGACTCTTTATAGATTAGATCCGTTCTTGTTGGTTACATTCCGGGTTTTGGTACTTGACTTCCCATTTTTGCTGATCGACTTCCCATGAATTTTGATTGGTGAAGCCCAAAGTTTCGTTTCCAAATGCCCAGCCCATTATCATCATCTCACCTTACTTTTCCACCCCAAACCCACATTGTTTAAACATCATTGGACATTCATATTTGTATATAGTAGGTGTAGCTGCGGGAATTCCATGAACTATCTTCCCAGCTTCCTCACCTGACGTCCCTGGTTGATGATGAGTGGGGCTAACTATAAATCCCCCAGTGGTGGGCTGCAAGTTTCGGGAGGGTGAATTAATGTTGGTAAAACAATAATAAACCATCCCCAATGTCACCATAAATAGGTGGTATATTTACTATTCCCAGTCATGGGTGGTTTATGATTGTTTTATCCACTTTGTTCTGATTCATCCAGATATAGTAAATGGATGTAAATGGTAAATGATAGTAAATGTCAGCATTTTCCCTACTGTAAATGGTGCCAGGTGGGATTTTCAGACCCAAATCCATCATGGAGGGCACCATCTGACTATCAGGAAATTGCGAAAGCCTTGAATCAGCTGCGGGGCCAGGAGAAACGGGCGCCCGGACGACTGGCGCCACCTGGCGGTGCAATTTTCCAATGAAGACTTGGGATGTACCGATTTCTTCGAACTTTAACTATGAAAAAGCAAAAAAAAACATGGGTTTTAGAGATTTAGGGATTTTCACCCACAAACATTGGGGTTTAACCAACAATGCTCCTAGAGATTTCAGTGATTTAAGCAACAAATCGGGATTTAATTGTAACAAAAGGGTATGTATATATATATATATACATATTGTAAAGGGATTTATCATGATTTATCTAAGTTTATTATCCTATAAGGGGTATTATGAAGGGATTTATTTAATTATTAGGGGCTTATTAACCTATAAGTAAGTGAATAATTGGTGATGGAAACCTGCGAAATATATTGGGCTATCATCCATTCGGAAGCGAGGCTATAGCTACTTTAACAGTTCAGAAAATGGGTTAGAATGGCTAGAATCCAACATGATGGTCTGTGTCTGCCAATATTATAGGCTTTGACCAAGCCTGCCCTATTTGTTGATTTTATCAAGTTTGAAAATCGGAAAAGTGAGATTTTGAAGCATGGGATCGAAGATGGTCCCTGATTTTCAAGACACATTTGATCCCTGATGGAGCGCTTGGAGCGAAGTGGACCCGAGGCAAGATGCATACAATCGCGGCAGTGAGCAAAACCTCACCGTTTCCTGGAGCGTTTCGGGGGCGCCAGGTGGGTTTGGAATGGCTATGGGTCAAAGTCTGGTACCCTGCTGAACCTCTAAATAGCTGGTAAATGGATGTTCATCATTATTCACCCTCCAAATTAGAAGGGGTCCATTGGTTTCAACATGTTTCAACCCATACCTAAATGGGGGAAAACAGGCCAAACTCCTCCAAAATGATCCACTCCGACGGGGTGCAGCAGGTGTCTGGCAAATGCACAAGCAAAACAAATGTCTGTGAAGACTTGCTGCTGAGTTATCATTATTGGTATACACAAGGTCCTGCCTTTGGTGAGTTGCTCAGGTAGCAAGTCAATGGTTCCATGCTTTTGCTGCTTATATCCCCGCGAATGGTGCCAAGCGCCCCACTCTTGCTGGCAATATGACCTCCAACAATTGAAATTTCAGAGAAGGTTGGCTTCAAAATGGATCAAGACATACCCTTTCTCTTCCCATCCCCAAAAAAGATGCCAGTACGGACCAAAATATGGGGTGACCAATGAGATTTTCCGAGTCTGGCGGCTTTTCATGACTTGATCCATACCCATCTACTGCCACCGGTCTCAGGCCATCACCGTTTTCTTCCGCTTCCCCAAGCGCGGGGCACGCGCCTTCCCCGAGCCGCGGCCGGCTCCGCCGGCGCCGCCGGCGCCGCGGCCGGCTCCGCCGGAGCCGCCGCTGAAGGCACCGAAGGTGGAACAAAGGCCGAAGATGGCACGGGCGGTGACGCAAGATGACTTGAGGTGGGGGATGGCAATGGGACAGCCTTGGGGAAGATCTTTGTCATGGAAGATGGTTGGTTTCCGTGGGATCAGTTTGACACATACCCATATGACAAACACATGAGCAAATATTATGCACATGTATATCTTGAATCTTGATATGTATATATTATACAATTGTATACAGTATATATATATATATATATACATACACATACAGTAGCATAGAATTTGAAAGGAAGATCTCCTGGAATGTGAAGATCACAAGCTCCCCAATAACGACTCGATCTTGTCCGCACTCGCTTCAGGGAGATCAAAGCTGCTCGAAGGGAGCAGAGGGAGCAGTCGCTGGGCTTCCCGTGTTTGACCCAAGAAGAAACCAGGTCCGATTTTGGGATGAATTGTGGGATGATGATTTTATGATACTGTAATTTTTCCTTAGCTTATTTTTCTGACTTGGGATGGTGCAGCCAACTGCTCGCAGTGGCTACGTAGCCACCCCTGTTGGTTGGTGATTTGATGGGGTTGTACTATCCACTATAGGGGATTATCAGAATCAATAACTTAACCAGCCAGTATAAAGGGACTACATTTCGGCTTTTGAACAATGCAACCCTGTGACATTGGACCAGGGTACCCTTCAGCATCATCCCCTTGTGGCTCAGGCAGAACGAGGCTCCACAAAACGAGCATCTCTTCATCTACGTGCAGAACGAGGAGCTTAGCCAGGATACAGCCTGGGCCTTGTAGAAATACTTACCCTCCGGTAATCAAAGGTTACGTGGCAATGGAAAATCCACTAATCCACCATTGATATAGATGATGTTTCCCTTTAAAACCTCCATTTATAGAGGATTTCCCATTGCCGTGTTTGATTGCCAGAGAGTACACCTTGTTTGTGGGAAGTCCCCGTTGACATGTGCAGATATGGGATAATTGCGGGATAATTCTGGAATACTTGTGGGATAATAGGGGATAATATGATATCAATCATGGGGGATATTTGTTTAGAACAAGACTAATAAAACCATCCACGATCCAGGTTTATTATTGGGCCTACTGTATTGGTGATGATTTAAACTGGCCCCCCATGGTTGGTTACTGGGATGTTTTATTACTGGGTTAAAAACATCAAGATCAAATAGTATCAAATACACTCTAGAAGTCCAAGTGTAGTATTTCATCTATTCAATCTCTGAAGCCAAATGTGGGGGGAAGAAACATGTTGGCAGGATGGACAAGCAATGACATTGGGCGAATGTCATCCCCGGATTTGCACACCTGCGTTGATTCATTGAGGCACACAACCCTCCGGCAATCAAACATGGCTTGCTGGAAATTCCACCCTTTATAGATGAATTTTGCCATTAAGACCTCCATTGATTTATAGGAGATTTTCCAGTGCCATAATTTGATGAATCCGGGGTTCACCCCACCTCTCAGCCCACAACATTCTTGCGGAGGTAACTCCGATCTTGGGCTTTTCAATTTTAAATGGTATCAACATGTTCAATGCTTTGCAGGTCCAGGTTGCTTTATTGTTTTTCCCCAGAGTTTGGAGACCCTCACTCATTATGTCTAGATCTGTCAACGACTTTGCAGGAACACTCATCATACCCTTCACAGAGCCACTAAAGATAACGAAGCGCAGATCAACTTAGGGCTCTTCTTTCCGAAATAGGAACAGTATGTTCGAATCGTGACCCCGTTTGACGGTCGCTTGGATCGCTTGGATCGCTTGGAACCACGGGATTTGGATCGCTTAGAATACCGCCCCATGGGACCATCCGGCTTGTTTGTTTTGGCATCTCCCAACTTGTTTTGGCACCAATCCGGCTCCCCTTCCTCTTGGTCAGAAAGACTTTTTTGTTTGGAGAAAGTAATACCCTCTGGTAAACTAACATAGCTATGGAAAATCACAATTTTCAATGGGAAAATACACTATAAATGGTCATTTTCAATAGCTATGTTAAATTACCAGAGGGTATGTGAAGGGCCACAATGTCAAGAGAAAAAGGCTGAAAAAGGCTGCAGATGTTTGACATGCCATGTCCCAAAAAGGTGATCCCCAAGTGCCGTCGGACAGCCAGTGGCTGTCCCAGCATTGCTTCACGACAGTAAAGAACAAGAGCACTTTCCAACCTTCCCTTGAGCCTCATCAATGTCACATACGATCCAGTGTTTGTTGACTCCTTTGTACTAGTCATCTATTTGCTCCTTCAGATCCAGTTTTTTTTACCTGATTTACATAGTTGGTAATTTTCTCGATTTTTTCCCTCAACTTCCCATGGACTTCACCCCCAGGAGAAGGGTGAGAGGCACCTTTTAGAGGCTGCAGGCAGATCTGCTGGTGATTTCTCTACGACTGCAGTTGACCCCAACGTATTTTTTGGGATGTAGGAAAGTCATGGGTGACCTTCCAAGGTCTTCCAAGGTCTTCCAAGGTCTCACCCCAACGCCGCAACGCCGTAGGGCAGCTCTTTGAGGATGAGGACGGCCATGTGGCGCACGAGTTCCTGGAGGAATGCGCTCAAGGCCTGCGGCTCAAGGCGTGCAGACGCCACGGCTCGGCCAAGTGATGGGAGAAAAGGTCGCCAGTTGGGGCGGTGGTGGCCACCAAAAGGATAGCAGTTGTGGTTTTTTCGGACCGCAGTTGGGCTACAGTTTTGATGCGAAATATGGGTATGGGTCAATACCTATACATACCATTTTTAGGGGGATGAACATCCATTTACCAGCTATTTTGGGGTTCACTAGGTACCAGGGTTTTGACCCATCCCCATATGAGAAACTCGGTGTTTCGTGCCAAACAACAAATCCATGAAGTTGTGTCCAGCACAGCTCGTGTTTAGCCATTGTGCTCGAGCCCTCACAGTGGAGCGACAGCATCAGGTGCAGCCGCTTGGAATTGGGGCCCTATGGAGGGTCTTCTACATGGACCCACCCAACGATTTCACGTTTTCCAAACTTTGCACTAGACCTGTGATCCACGTTTGTCCCTGTGAGAGCCACTATAAATTGAAGACATGGCAGATAATTTTTGGCAATAGTCTTTGCTTTGTTCTTCAACCGCTCAGAAGATAGGTCTCAAGCTGCGAGATGGTTTGCAAGCAAACAACATTTTTGAGAAATCCGTAGAAATCCAATCATAGATGTCGTTTTCCCATTGGTTGGTTGATTAATAGAGGGGTTTGAACAAACCCCTTTAACAACAGGTTTGTTTGATGATAGATGGTATACCAGCTCCCTTTCCCTCTATTTTTACCATTTTAGGACATGATTGAAGGTCATATATATATATATATATATTTTTTCATATATTTTCCATTTCATATATGGGATGTCATCCTTCCCATTGACTTTCACTCATATTTTCAGAGGGGTAGGTCAACCACCAACCAGATGACTTCCGCTGATTTCTTGAGGCCACGGCGCCACGAAAGAAGCCGCGCGATGCCCACACAGAGCCTCGACCATCAGGTTGAACAGGGCCATCCCTGGAGAATGCTCGTAGCTGATATATAGAAACTGAGTAATGTAATTATTCAATTACATAGTAATGTGGTAAGCCAATAATTTTCAGAATCCCCAAGTTATCACCATACTGTAAATGGGTGCTCTGTCGACCATCCCCAAATGGTAGGTTTATTGGGTTTCCCACATTATTCCATCCAACAAGAGTTTTTTGGTGTGAGCAATCCCAGTTTCGCTCTACAGATATATCATGCCGTGAAGCTGCGAGCTTTCCGAGCTGCATTGCCACCTGCTCCAATTTTGATTGTAGTTGATGGTCTCCCAGGAGCTTCAAAAAGGGGCCCTTTTTTTTCGACCCCAATCTGGGCCGCCTAAGGATACCTTTCGATTGGCGGGAAGATGAGACCAGCCTGATTTTCGTGTTGTCCACTCCAGGCTGAGGGAGAGCTCACAAGGAGAGACCAGGATCTGACAAGGAAATCAGGAAAATCTCAATGAGTTTGGCTGGTAAGTCATGGTAAATCCATCGGTTCTTGCAGATTCTTGCAGATTTTCACTGGAAGACCAAGGCAGTGAATAGGAACAGCGTTGGACAATGCTGTTTTTGTTGGTCTCAAACAGTGACCCTTTGGATGAGATCCCGGGCATTTCTTTGCGACGGTGACTTCATTCATGTCACTGCTAGGCGTGAAAGCCAAGAACTTGTCTGTGGCCATCTGCGATGTCTATGTCAAGGCCGATGGTCGGGATCTGGGAACATGAAATTTTGCTGTGATCCCCGGCCACTGACATTTACCCTCTGGTAATTTAACATAGCTATTGAAAATGGCCATTTATAGTGAGTTTTCCCATTAAAAAAGGTGATTTTCCATAGCTATGTTAGTTTACCAGAGGGTATTTTGACATATTTGACATATTCATATACCATCTGGTTATTTTTTAACATAGCCATGGAAATTCACCATGAAATTAATAGGTAAACCATCTATTTCCATGGGCCATCTATACCATGGCTATGTTAAATAACCAGAGGGTAATATTCTATAGCATTTCATCTGGTATTCTATTCCGACATCTGACAAACGATCTGACACACTTTCTGACACTTTATCTGAGAGTCTATTTATTCACATCATGCCCACAGGGCTATGGCTCGAACTCATTCGGACTGACGGCCGCCATACTGCACGGTGGGTTTGCTATTTCGTATATCAACTTCTGAACCATTTTCATTGCTGTGATGTAGAAGAAACTTAAAGATTTCTATAAGATTTCATCACATATTCTTAAATGATATGTTTCAATTTTTGTCTTTCAATTTCTATCTCCATTTGCATTTCTGTTGGTTCTCCCTCCATTTTGGTCCGTTGGTTCCATCAAGGTGAACTTGCCGCCTGCACTCTTCGAGGCGGCCCATGGTTGCCCTCGATTATTTCAATTGGGGAATGGGTAAACAGTAGCCCCACCATTTAAGGTTCCCCCAAAAAATAGCACTTCAAGAACCATTTTTGGGTTCGTGTTAGTATGGGTTAGTATGTGTTAGTACCCAGAGGTTTTCGTTGTGATTTTGGGGAGTTTTTTCGCCATTTGCAGCTGGGGACTCCTTAAAACCAATGGCAGGGGGAGTTCAAACCAGAGTGGCGACAATGATTTCCAGGAATTGGATGATGGTTTTCTAATACCCCAAGTTAGATTAATGGAATATCCCCACTTATAAAATCCATTATAATGGCTTATATATATGGCTTATATTCATACAAAAAATAAACCATGGATCCGATAGGCCCAGGCCAGCCTGCTGACCAGCCTGCTGACCAGCACGTCGCAGGTGGATCTTCTTCATGAGATTGATCCCGAACATCCAAAGACACGATGTCGGGTCAGTCCCAACAAGGCCGGCTGGACGGATGGATGGGGGTCGATTCTCCCATGGTTTGGGCATAGCTTTAGCATAGCTCAGATGATATCAGATGATATCATATGGTTGGTTTATATCAATGTTGCAGATATGCTTGGTTTATGTTGGTTGTTATCTTGGTTTTATCAGATGGTCCAGAAGGGATTGTTCATTTTCCATCATACTCGAATCGATCACCTAGTGACGGCATGGAGAAGTGCATAGCAAGGCCCAAAAAGACTAACCGAACCGTGTTTCCTGGATGGTAGATATAGATGATAGTCATAGTCGATTCATATTTCCAGGCTTCGAACTTTTCTATATTTTTGTTGGCTTGCTATATGCTATATTCATGCATCAATAATTATAATTATTATAGGATATCATCACAACATGTTGACGATATAAACGATAACAATAGTATACGAGTCTACATCAATACTACCATGCTGGTAATAACCATAGCGCGATTGATACTAGCGATGAATCAATCCAAACCCAAACATGGGTGATATCCATGGACCAACATTTTGCAGATGTCGGTATGTGTCAGCAAGGATTGGCCTTTTTGCTAAGAGTCAGGGTGTCAAAAGTGGTTCTCAAGTTCTATTGGCTCAGTCGGACACTGGGAATGGAACCAACCAACATGTTGGACTCAAATGGAGATATCACTAGCTGAATTTGGGCCGGGCCTGGATCCTACTAGGTCAATTTTTTCAAGCTGCAGAGGCCAACCTTGAAGAATCAAAAGAGATCGGAATAGTTGACTCTCCTACTATCCTATATTTATATTAAACCATATTTAATCAGATAGGTCATATTTAACCCATCTTTAACCCATATGGAAAACCCATATTTCTTTGAAAATCAGAGGTCCAAGCCAGGTCCCATGTAGAGGTCCCGTGTCACGACTCCCACGCGGCCAGGTCACAGTGACCTTGCAGAAGCGTCAAGCGCAGATCTGGGACGATTTCCGAGCAGCAGGGGCCAAGGTTTCAGCAGCGGTTTCAGCAGCGAGATCTTGGGAGTTTTTTTTGGGATGGCCATCTGTAGAAAGTTGGTGCTTTAATGGTGGTTTAATGGTGGTTAACTATGGTGGTTAACTCTGGGATTTGGTGAACTATAGTTGAAATAACTGTGGTTTATAAGTCTGATAACTATGGTTTATCGGTGATATATATGTGTATATATATATATATATGTAACAAATAAAACCAGAGGGTAACTCGTAACTCCAATTGAGATGAGATGATGATGGCAATGCTTATTGTGATTGATTAGTTGTTGATATTAGTAGCTATGGTTTATGACTGTTTATGAGATACTTACAACGAACTAGCGGGGGTTATAAACCAACTGAACGGAGAAATGTGGAGTCTCTTGCCGCTATATTATGTCTGAATGGCTTTGAACAAGTGTATTTTTTCCGAAATGTCTTATTTCTATTTTTTCATGACTTTGAATAAAGTGCAATTTCCTTCGAGATTATTTTTCACCGAGAACCTAAAGGCATCGCTATTTGAACCATTTTCAGTCACGCAGTTTCAGTAGGAACCCAAACGCCAAGTCATGTGGGGATAGGTCAAAACATCCATAATCATATTATGAACAAGCAACCCTGCCTTTGGTTTATAAATTTATATTTTTCAGCATGAACTATAGATACATCGACCATAAACCATATAGTTATTATAGTTATAAACCAATAGGAAAAACCATAAATAGGGGTTCCGGAAAAAAACGGGGTACCCCAGTTCTCATCCATGTCATGGATGACCTCCATTTCACTAGACCTCGAACATAGTTCAAAATAACAAACAAAAAAGGACAGTCACCTACTAGTTAGATCTGCCATAAATAAAACTATAGCTATTACAGTTATAAGCCATAGTTATTAATTACAGTTATAAACTATTATAGTTATAGTTATAAACCATAGTTGTTTCAGTTAAAATTATAATCCAAATAATTACTGGTTGGTGGTTTGGAACATGGCTTTTATTTTTCCATTCAGTTGGGAATAATCATCCCAACTGACTTTCATATTTTTCAGAGGGGTAGGTCAACCACCAACCAGGATAGATCTACCATAAACGATCTCCAGGACCCAAAAAAAAATTGCGCAGGCCGATCTCCGCGTCCGACGGCAAGCTGCCTTGGACGCCTTGGAGCAGCGCGAGGCGGAGCGGCTGCAGAAGCGGAAGGCGCGGCGCGCGTACCGGGTAGTGGTTGGAGGATCGCACCACTTACCCTCTGGTAAACATACAAAACACTAGGGAAAATCACCATTTTTGATAGGTAAATCAACTATTTCGACTGGGCCATTTTGAATAGCTATGTAACAAATGACCAGAGGGTAGTAAGTGGCTCATAAGCCTAGTTAGTAAGTTCCCTAGGAAGTGGGATGATCCTCCAAGCAATGGGTTTATTAATGGGATTTGGATGGGCTGGGCATGGGATTTGAGTGGGATTTCGAGGTGATAGGTATGGGTTGACATGGGGTTGGGGGGGATATAGATCTGCTTATATAAAGATGGGTATGCCCATGTACACTACATCTATGATCAGATGGGTAGAAACAATCACCCGTGCCACCTGGTTTATATATGTTTATATGGAGTTATATGACTGGTGGTTTGGAACATGGCTTTTATGACTTTCCATTCAGTTGGGAATGGAAAAATCATCCCAAGTGACTTTCAGTCCATCATTTTTCAGAGGGGTAGGTCAACCACCAACCAGCCATAAAATCATAGGTATACCAGCAACCAGCCATAAAATCACCATAAAATCACCATGAAATCCCCTAAAATCACCATTGAATCACCATAAAATCACCAAGCAGATGATATATGTGGTTATCCTTTTAATGGTTCTAAATTGGAGGATGGTTTGGGTTCATCCGATCTTCCGCTGGGCTCATGGGTATCCGGAAAGTGGATCAATCAGAATGAGCAGACATATATATATATATATTATATATATGATATATATATTATATATATATTATATATATATATTATATATATATTATATATATATTATATATATTATATATATATATTATATATATATATATTATATATATTATATATATTATATATATATATTATATAATATATATATATATATCATATATTGTATGCATATATATATATATAGAGATATGCACTACTAGCAGTAGAGATCAGCAAAAATCAGTAACAGAATGGTGATATTTCATCAGACAGGGGACGATTTTTTTCGCAGCATCAACGGTGACTTCCAAGCTCAGCGAGTCGTCGCATCGGTGAGTCGTCAGGACTTCAAAGAAGAAATGTTGAAGCAAGGTGAACATGCGTCGGAAACTTGGGATGGCCTTGCTGGCTCGATGTCTCCTCAAACAATTGATACATGGGCGGGTCATTGTAAGATATTTCAATGGCTGAAAATGGTGAAATTCATCAAATTTTGGGGTGTCCCTCTAAATTTTCAGACAGGCTCATGTGTGTGACATGGGGTGTGAGAGGATGTGTCGCAGATGTTGAAGGTTGGGTTTTGGAGACCAAATCACTGTGAATCTCAGCAGGAGATTTTCTCACGTCCAGTGAGATTTGAGAAAACAAAATGATCCTGGACTTCAATTTCCAGAAAATACATGAAAATACCAGAAATACGACGACATATGTTTGGTTATGTTTGGTTCACCTCAAGGTAATCCCTTACTTCAGATTGGAGCTAGTGGCATTTTTCTCAGGCAGTGGCGTTTGGACTCCCAAAACCGGGAGACCATTGAGAAGTGGGAACAAGAGGACCGGGTGGACAGGGCGGATGGCGCCGGCTGGAAGATCCCCGAGTTGAGAGCTGACCATGGCCCCATGGCTATCGGAAACAACGGCATCCCCGTGAAAAATCCACCAATCTCGTTGGAGACATTTAGCCAGTGGGTGGGATGCTGTTTACTCATGGCGATGCCAGATTTGGGAACAAATCCATTGTAGCCCAGGAGTTTGATGGGGGGACATGAACATCCATTTTGGGATAGCTCAGATTTCTAGAGTGTAACACCTCGAACACAGACATCCACACCCTCCCAACGCCATGGTTTGAAGTGTTTTTGATTGCAATACCCACCAGATTGATAAACATTACCCTCTGGTAAACATACAAAAAACTATGGAAAATCACCATTTTTAATTGGTAAATCAACTATTTCTACGGCCATTTTCAATAGCTATGTTTGTTTACCAGAGGGTAGCTTCCTCAGGATTCCAGGTTTCCTTTCCAGAATGACTTCGATTTGACACGCAGCCCCACCTCACAATCCACAACTTGGGATGAGACCCCTATTGGTTCACGAATGGAGGTTGCGACCTCATGGATGTTATGACTCATGACCGAAGCCTGGAATGATGGGTAGTAGGAAAAATACTATCCCCCAAAATAGCTAGATATCCGAAGTTTGCAGTTTCATGAATTATTCTTTTATTTATTTATCCAGGTTTAAAAGTTATACACCAAAATAGAGGTCATTCCAATCTGTCAACCAACTCTCGGTTGGAATATCCACCACACTTTTTTGGGCATGGAAACAGCCATGAATCGAAGAGTCAAGTATTCCTACCGATTTAGCATCCGTACTCAGGCCACCTTATACCACTCCAATGCATAACAGGAATGGCTCCTTAGCAACTGAGCCTCACACAGTTATGAATTGAAACTCTAGTGTCGAGGGGTTCAGATTTTTTGTTTTTTCACGGGGATTTCACGGTCGTTCATGATACTTTTGGGGTCTTTGGCGATACTTTTGGAGACGAACTCACGATTTTTCACTGTATTTTCCAGTTTTCTCCGCATTTTTGTAAGTCTGGCATGTAGCCTTGGGGGCCCATGCCTCATGCGTGTGTCGCCAGAGTTGTTGTTTATTTTTCAGTCATGACCACTCGAAAGTTTCGATCCGTGCGCGTTCTGCCACGTGATGAATCTCCGCCATTCTCAGCATGTCACCCGCCAAAATCTGCAAGTTTTTTTTTTCTCAACATTACTATAATATATAACTATATGATACTATATGGTTTATGGTCGATGTATAAATTTAGTTCATGTTTTTTTCTCAACATGCCACCCACTGAACTCCGCATCTCCGTCTCCAGGAGAAGGAGAAGTGGGAAGAGGAGGTCTATCGCTCCTTCGATTCTGCCACGGGGGATTTGTTGGAGTCCGAAAGGCCGGGCGATGATTTACCATGGGGGATTCAGCGGTGCCAAAAATGACCATGGGGGAGGTTTGATGAAGATGACATATCTTGAAACATATCATATAATATCATATATATATATATATGTATATATATATATACATACATATATTAGCATGTGGCTCTACCAGGTTCTGGGCTAGGTTCTTTAGAATATATTTCTCTGCTCTGCCGGCTGCATCCGGATGGTTGTTTTATTGTTTGAAAATTGTTATTTAATAGTTTTTTTCAGATTTTTTTTGTTATTTAACAGTTATTTTTTTTTACTATTATTATTTAACAGTTATTTTTTGTTATTTAACAGGATTTTTTTTGTTATTTAACGGTTATTTTTTTGTTATCAGTTATTTTTTTGTTATTTAACGAAAAAAACCGATTAAACAACGAAACAAATCAATTAAACGATTGATTTTTTAACCGTTGAGTAACAAAAAATAACAGCTATTGTAGCAACTTGCGTGGAATGAACACTGAACAGCCATAAATCCCAGCGATTTTGGGCTTCACGAGGCCGTAGAGGGGAGACGATGACGACCATTCGAATTGAAAACTTGCGGGGATTTTGAGCTGCGAATTTAAACATACACAGGGGGTGCATTCAATGACTAACTTTTTAGCTGTTTTGAAGATGTTGAACTGAAACAACCAGAGAGTTTTGTTTACCGTTCGAGAGGATTCGGTGTTTGGATCGCTGGTGAGAGATTTAGGTAACCCTGAACCCTAACCATCACTAGTAATGTGGTAAACCCAGTTCCATACGCCATCTTTATGGGTTGGATCTCAATTATCCCCAGTCATATTAGTTGAATGGCTGAAACTGACCAACTGATTATCCATGCTTATCCATAGCGCCAGTATGCATGATTAGCAACCTTAGTTGACTTCATTGGTTCCTCACTTGGATGTACGGGCCCGACGGATCGGATCCATGGTTTACAATCCATATATATATAAATATACATATATATATATAAATATATATATATGTATACATATTTATATATAACCCATATTCCATCCCATGTTAAAATTTATAACTTGGGATATTCCATCTATACATGGAGCCATAAAAGCAGGCGGGCGGATGACTTGGATAACTTGGATGCCCTTGCGGATGGCGAGGTCCAGGCTCCGGAGGAGGTCCATGGGGGATGGGGGATCATCACTAGGGTTGTTGTGATTGGGTTGTGATTGGGTTGTTTATAGGGCTACCCTCTGGTAATTTAAATTTAACATAGCTATTGAAAGTGGCCCATTTATAGTGATTTACCAATGAATAATGGTGATTTTCCATAGTTATGTTAGTTTACCAGAGGGTAGTATAATCACCAAATAAACCCCCAAAAATGGGCTAGTATTGGAGTATCCCTATAAACCAGTGATTATACTAGCCCATATATTGGTTTACCCTCTGGTAAACATACAACAAACTATGGAAAGATCCAGCATTTTATAGCTGGGTAAATCAACTATTTCGACTGGGCCATTTTCAATAGCTATGTTTGTTTACCAGAGGGTAACTAGGGTTTATGGTAATTATATTATATAATGGTAATTTTCATGGAATTCACTGGTTTCATTCACAAGAAACATGTGAGTTTACAATTATTGTTATAGCGAGATGGAATTCGCTGGTTTCATTTGCAAAGGAGTGGGAGTATCATGGGTATTTGACTGGACAAACAGGGGGTTCAATGGAATATTTTTGATGGGATGGAACCGGCCAACTGCATATATTATATGATATCAAACTAAAGTAAGGATCGGGGTATAAGACTGATTCGGGGATATATGAAGACACATAAACCAAAAGACATCCCTGAAAAAGTTGATCACTAGCAGTAACAGGCTTATGCCCCCCAAGAAAAGACCTAGGGGACCACACATTGTTGCCATTTTAAGTAACACCCAGCTCTGTCCTCATGCTTAATGATAGTTAGATCATGTCAAATCCACATCATTGGCGCTTCAGAACCCATCCGGCCCAGTGGTGGATCTCTTCCAAAGCCATCTTTGGGTCTGAATCTCATCTGAAAATCGGCTACCCCGGCTACCATCCACTGATATCATAGATATCCACTGATTCCCAACATCATTTTGGATGGTCCATCCGCCGACACAGGTGGAAGAAGCTTCGCCTCAAGTAGTGAAGCCAGAGGACAGGTGGACACCTCTACAATCCCCAAGTGGATCCAGAGCCGGACAGGAGCCAATCTGGACGGCGGAGGAGTTGGCCGACACAGAAGAGTGGCTTTGTTGGCCATGGATGCTGTGGTGTGGGGGGTGACCGAGGTGGTTAGGTGGTAGCTACAGGTAGAAGTGGAGGTTTCAAACATGTTCTATTCTGAGAATTGGAAAATTGGAAGCATATTAGCTGACATGATCATGTTTTGGAATCGAAACCAACACCATTGATAAAAAATCTTGTTTTTTCTCGATGTCAACAGTTGCTTGTTTTAGTTGAAGACCAGCCTATCTTGGTCCAACCCACACTTGGCTCAGACACTTGCAGTTGACTGTACTTTCCCTTCTTCGCCACATCCCTTTGTCTTGCTGCTTTAAGCTGGAATATCTTCTTTTTGCACACTCTCCAGTAAACTAGCAGTTCGCTGTGGAAAATCACCATTGTGAAAAAGATATACACGTCATAAAACAACATGTGCCATTTGCCATAGCAACGTGTTAGATTACCAGAGGCTTTCCCGTTTAGTTTGATGATTTGGCCAGCTTTAAACCTTCATTTTGGATCGGTGATTTCCAAGAGGCCCGCCATTAGTCAGATGACGCCAGAGGGAACCAACATTAGAAAAAACTAATAACACCAGCACATTTTCATTTCACACCGGCCATTTATTGTGTGGATAAAAATGGTACAGAACATGAAGTACCGTTGCGGATTCGTCCGAGGTATGTCCCCGATGTCCGCGACAATCCGGGGAAGATCGGTTTGCGCTTCACCGAACGTCCACGACCAGGACCGATGGACCGATCGCATCTTCGAAAAGCTGAGGAAACTGAGGATTTCACCCAACGAAAATGCGGGATTTCGCCAACAAAAAACGCTGATCTACCAAACATTGGGGGATTTTAGGTGACTTTAGCCAGTCGGAGCTTGAACAAAAATAGCTTAGATTCAACCATGAAGTTGTGGCGCCCTACAATCAGATGGTGACCACAGATGGAGTATCGAAATCCATCCTTTCTTGGCTTAACTGGTAAGGAAAACGACTCCAAAACACTGGAATTGGGAAAAAGGGAAACCGCCGGAAAGTTGGATTTCGTGGATTCCCCTCAGGCTTGCTGCATGTCGCTTGAAAACGCCTTTTTTCGAACAAAGAAAATACCTGAAGTGAAACCAAATCGCTCGAAGTGAAGTAATTGTTCATTCAAATTTCCTAGAATATAAATGAATAAAACATAATATAACCCAATAGCATGGCAGGCACGAGATCCTCTCATATGCCGATGGAAACCGCTTGGACCCGGCTCCGATGGGACGCGGTTGCCGTAATGATTGACAGCTCCGATCTCAGGAGTCCCTGTACGTGATCGCGGACGCAAGCCTGCACCATTTCCCAAGGAGAGCGGTTCTGCATGCTGCAACGATGCCCTGGGGGTCTGCTGGGAGTTGCCCGGCTCCGTTTCGGAATTCTGCAGGAAGCCCCAAAGACGGAGCTTCCTCCAATGCTGGTCTCTTGGCGAACAGTGCCTCTGGGAACGCTCTTGGGGCTCAAGCCGGCCACAATTTACGGAAAGATTGAATTGTTATTGATGTGATGCGACGGCAAAAACAAGCTAGAAGTTTTGCAGATTCTCAGTTGTCTATCTGCAATCCATTAAAACTTGGAAAACTCTGGAAGTCTTTCAGTTGCCTTATGGGCATTTTCTATGCAAAGTTGCCCCTGAACGTGACCAGGGATTCTTCAGCTGGTTCCTGCCAGCAGGCTGGTGATGAACGAGAGGAGGATGAGAACGACCCGGTTTGGTTGAAAGACAAGGCAGAGCCAGAAAATTTCCACTGGAGATGTCACCCAGTAACTAGTTGTTATGGGACTCTTCACTATGATTAAACAACATGAAGAAACCATATAAGATACGGTCAAAATACGCGTAGACTACTTTAGTAAGGGAGGCTCCAGTTGTGTCCAGAATCGTGCACCAAACCATGTAAAGCGATAGGCCCCGCAAAAAAGAGATAAGCTGTAACCATACGAGAGAGCATTAAACTAGGTGTAAACCAAGAACATATTGTTGTCCAAGGTGATTGTCCCGTTGCTTTCTGCAGGCAGTTTTTTTTTTTTCCTAGGTCCCGGGTCATAGAATTATTGATCTTATATTGGTTACTGTCATTCTAGTTTGGAGTTGAGATTGTAATATATAAATTTCCTTGCTTAGGAAAGAGTCTAGGAATGTGCTTGGGTAGCTCCCCAACATGGTTGCAAGCGCAAAGACGACGAGCGTCCCCTTAATCCATCCCCCGCAGTTTTAGAGATCTGAATCATCCGTGAAGCCAATTCCGCTGCATTTTTTCATTATCGATAACATTCGATAACCTATCTTTTTGTACCAAGCATCAACAATTCTATTTTGACGGCGGCTCGTCTATTTCATGCAGGGGGACCAGCTCATTGTACGCGGTGACTACACTGGTGCCTACAACGCCTACACAGAGGTCGCCTTGGGGCCGGGATGGAAAGGATGCAGATGGGGTGTGGGTCATTTTTTTTAGGACCTAGGGGGACCCAGGGAACCACTCTTGATGATGAGTCTCAGCTTTGAATATGCTGCTCTACTATATATATACATATATCTACATATATATCTACATATATCTACATATATATATATATATCTACATATATCTAAATATATATATATATAGTTATATATAGGCTTCCAATCTTTAAGATTGCTACTCAATGTTGAGCCATCTCAGATGGGTATACGAGATGGTGGATATGCTGTATGTTTTACTCAGAAAGCAGGATCATGATCAGTGAAAAAAATCCAAAAGCGATTCGTCCCAGCAGTCTTACTATGTCTTACTTGGGTAGCGGAGACATTCATCTGGCTAAATTATAAGGACCTCGCTGTTCTGCAAAAATGCCACATTTTTTTGGGGGGATTCTCCCAAATCCCTGAAGTATGGCCAAACTTTTCAGTTGTGAGTTGTGAGTTACCCGGCCTGGTAATTTGTCACATAGCTATTTAAAATGGCTCATGAACAGTTGATTTACCTCTTCCAAATGGTGCATAGTTTTCCATCGTTTTTTGTATGTGTACCAGAGGGTAAACCTCCATAAAATCCTATGGTTTTCCTATGGAAATCCATCCATGGCTCGATGGGTCCATGGCAAACTGCTCCATGCCTTGGATATGCGTCAGGTGGCACCAGAGGATTCTCCTATGGTTTATGTTATGGTATGGTATAAACCAGGTTTATGATATAGTTATGGTTTATGGTAGATATTCATGATAGTTTACTAGGTATAATGGTATGTAATGGTTATAGTGACTATATGGTGACTATGGTAGATATACCATGATAGTGACTATGGTTGATGGTTATTGGATAATAAGTATAACTATCAACCATAGTCACTATCATGGTATATCTACCATAGTCACCATATAGTCAATATAACCATTACTAAACCATACCATAACATAAACCATAGTATGAACAATTTCGAATACCCTCTGGTTATTTGTTACATAACCATGGTATAGATGGCCCATAGAAATAGATGATTTTCCCAGCGAACTAAACCTCCATTTATTTTGGGGATTTTCCATGGCTATGTGAAATAACCAGATGGTATTCGAAATCTGATTCTCACAGGATTCTTACTTACATGGGTATGGATCAATACCTATTAATACCATTTTTAGTGGGTTATTCATCCATAAATCCCAGCTATTTTGATGTGAACTACAGGGGTACAGGGTTTTGACACACTGCCACATATTTGTGTATGAGTTGGCTGTGACCATATCAATTCTGTTGATGTTAACCAGATTTTGTGTATAGAATCGCGTGTTGGGATGTGAAACCAAGCCACTGGTGTGACCCAGAGCTAGTTTTTTGGATGCGGCACCTGTTCATTCACCATATCCAAACAACCATGACGTTAGAGAAACCCCCAAATTAAGATGGAAAAGTGAACAAGGTGAGGCCCCCTCAGTTATCTTTGTTGGTTTGTAAACTCCATGAAAACGATAGTTCTATTATATCCATAAACGCAAACGTTCACCAAGTTATTTGCCTCAACTTACCCTCTGGTAAACTAACATAGCTATTGAACATGGTCATTTATAGTTGATTTTTCCATTAAAAATTGTGATTTTCCATAGTTTTTTGTATGTTTACCAAAGGGTAGCTATCATAAATCAGCAAGACAAGTCCCATGACATCCCCATTTTTCTTGGTGAAATGACACTTTTCCTATGTGTAACACCGCCCCCGGTCGATAGGGAACTCGGTTAATTCCAATTTCACCATGGTTTATGGTAGATATATCATGATAGTGACTATGGTTTACAGTTATACTTATTCTCCAATAACCATCAACCATAGTCACTATCATGGTATATCTACCAGTCACTATAACCATTACATACCATTATACCTAGTAAACTATCATGAATATCTACCATAAACCATAACTATATCATAAACCTGGTTTATACCATACCATAACATAAACCATAGTATTCATAGTCACTATGACCATTACGTACATCATATGAGATGGTAACCTAGTAATTATTACCATTATCATAATATATCTACCATAAACCTACCATTATCATGATATATCTACCATAAACCTACCATTATCATGATATATCTACCATAAACCTACCATTATCATGATATATCTACCATAAACCTACCATTATCATGATATATCTACCATAAACCTACCATTATCATGATATATCTACCATAAACCTACCATTATCATGATATATCTACCATAAACCTACCATTATCATGATATATCTACCATAAACCTACCATTATCATGATATATCTACCATAAACCTACCATTATCATGATATATCTACCATAAACCTACCATTATCATGATATATCTACCATAAACCTACCATTATCATGATATATCTACCATAAACCTACCATTATCATTATATATCTACCATAAACCTACCATTATCATGATATATCTACCATAAACCATAGTTATGCTTACTAGGTTTATATGTGGGAGTGGGTCAAAATCCCATTATTATCAATTGGAATGGGATGAACATTCATTTACCATCTATTTTTGGGTTCACTAAGTACCAGGCTTTTGACCCATAGCCATATGTCATGGTAACCATAACTCCAAGAACCAACGAACCTGCGAGGCCCTGAAGCTGGCCTCCAACGCGCGATGCTTCGCCAACCGGGCCCTGACCTCGTTGTACCTGGGGAACTTCGAGCAGTGCCTGGAGGTGGCCGAGATTTCAGCTGTATGGAGGGGTTCACCATGGTTCAACCATGGGATTTTATGGAATTTTACGGGATTTTTATGGGAATTTTATGGGGATTTAACATGGTTTAACATGACTTTACATGATTTAACATGGTTCAACATGGTTTAACATGGTTTAACATGATTTAACATGGTTCAACATGGTTTAACATGGTTTAACCATATTTCACCCGGGCTTGTAGGAGAACTTGTAGGGCTTGCTGGAAGTTCACCATGGGGGGTCAAAATTTTAGCAGAAGGGATCACAGATTTTCGTAGATTTTCAAGATTATATAAGCATCATATATAAACATCATATATATATATATATTGTATATATATATATTATATAATCATTATATAAGTTATATAAGCATGTATGTCATTATTTTTTGGTACCCAATTTTGACCCATATCATCATACCCATTTCTTGGATTTTGATGGGGATTCAACCATTATTTCCAGGAGATCCAGGAATGAAGCCAAGTTGGGACTGGGTGGTTGTTGAATGGAATTTCACCCTCATGCTTTGGGGGTTCTATGGGACTTTACCCATCAAATGCGGATATCATGGACAATCTTATGAATTTTAATGGTATTTAGCCATCAAACATAGTTGATGAATGTTGATGAATGATGGTTCAGAATACTGCTCTTGATATATTGATATATATCGGGGTTTATCATAATTCATGAACTGGGAATCGTTATCAAGCAACCTGTTTCTAAAGGGGTGCCAGAGAGTTTTCAACACTAATCGGATAACAACCCAAAACTGGGGATGAATCATACTATTAGTATAATTACCATATTTTATGGGGATGAACATTGATTTACCAGAGTACCAGGGTTTTGAGCCATGACCAATATGAAATTCGAAACTCATTTTTTCTTTATGATTGACATGAATGGAGGTGTTGGCTACAAAGAAATGCAGATTTTACGCACAGACATGGGTTGTGCAGCCGGTGACGAGGGAAGGTGGGGAGAGAATCACTCAACCATGGCCATTTTCCTCTCATCTTTAATAGGAGCCTCATCGACACATGAGGGCTTGGCCGTTGCCAGGTTAGATTCACAAAGGATATGTGTGATTCCTGGGTGTCGCTTACTCCACACTTCCAACTCCAAGTGTTTGCGTCAGGACTGCAACCGATCCATTCAGATCTTGGATTTCAGGCCTGCCGCAGATTTGCCGAAAGGATTTGACAGATTTTGAACGCCCTCTGCGGGACCGCATTGTCGAAACAGATTGCCATTTATTTGCACCAGGTTGATGTTTCCCTACTGCTATAGTGGTTTCCAGTTGGAGGTTTCCGAAAAGTCATGGGGCTATCCCAATTTCCATCCCAATTTCCATGGACTTTTCCAGGAAAGAAACCAGCTATTGGGGGTACCTGGGTACCTCCCCAGGAACAAGCCCCGGAATGGCGAGCTTCACCACAGTGCCGATCCGGAAGACGAAAAGGCGCGCGCTGTCCATCGGGAGACCCCAACGGACATCCCGGATGGCCATCGATGAAGCCTGGTTGATTAATTTGGGGGGGTACTCCCCAGATACCGTAGTGAGAATCTGATACTTAAATGGTACCTGAATTGAACTTGCTAGGGGTTTATTTTTCTGCGGGGTTGACATTATTGATCAATGATGTTTGTAGTAGGGATTATCGCCTATTTTGAGACGTGCCCAGATGTGGCTGTTTGATCTGGGACCAAAATGGTGGCATTCAACTTGACTATATATATATATACGTATACATATATATATATAAATGGTTGGGACAACACGAATATTGGATTAGTTGAAGAGAACATCTAGGACGCATAATATGATATAAAATAATCATATTTCGGTATGGGTCAATACCCATGATACTAATGGATCTCCAGTTTTTTTTGAAAAAAAATACGTTTTAAAGTATAGGCTTTGAATGGCTTGTTCCATCCAGATTGTCGAAATTAACATCATAGTATATATGATATATGTATATGTATATGTATATATATATATATATTTGGTATATGGCACATTGAACTACAGAATCGGCTGATGTTTCTGGATCTCTCTGTGTTCATGGCTGATTTGTGACCATTTTTATAGGGACACCTGGGGGATCCCCCAGCGCAGGTGCGCGCACGTGTGGAAATTCGCATGGGCCTGGGTGACCTGGGAAAGCTGACGATGACTTGTGTTTTTTTGTTTGCTTTATTAATCCCGTCACCCCAAGATTAAACACCCAGTTATTCTGGTCCCAATACAATGTGTAAATTTCCTACATCCACCATGGTTTCTAAGCCGGGGATAGTGAAATGGAGGGTGAAGGTACAAACTTAAGTCAAGTCCCGAATGCCGTCGTAGATAGTTGGAGTTGGGGAGGATCCAACTACCATGACAAAATATCTTGGGTAAATGTAGAAGTCCCCAGGTTCATGCTTTGAACATCCACAAAAATCAGTTTTCATTCCAATCCCAATGCTAAACCATACCCCATTCAATGTATATATAATTAAATTATATATATACATACATATCCAAAGTTGACATTCAAGGCGTTTAAAAATTTTAAATGAGGGATGGTTTGTTGTTTTGCTTTACCTCATTATAGCAATCCCCGAATAGCCGAATCTAGGTCAATCTTACATGGATACTTTAATCCTTTAGTCTTTTGATATTAATGGGAATATCTACTAACCAGCAAAGAATTTAATTTTTTGCAGGGTATCTAAGATTGGCAATGGAATAGCTAGATAAACGTTGGACACCTGGAATCCTGGAATCCTGGAATCCGAAATTGCTTGGGACCTGCCACGGACGTTTGATCCAAAAATGGCAAATGACCAGTTCATCATCTGTTTTTTTTTGGGACCCCTTATTTTAGCAATCCCCCAAAATCCCCAACAAGATAGACTTGAGAAGACTTAAATCATTAAAATCACAATTTTTGTGGGATTTTATTTGTCAATCTGTATTTTTTCTGGGGTTACTATGTAGAATTCTATATCCATATATATATATATATCGTATAATTCCCCATGATATCAATGATTTACCATTGATTTATTGGGATTATCCATTTATATATATATATATTCATTCATATCAACTACTTATGATGCATATCAATTGATACCCCCCAAAGAAGGGGTCCACTTATCTTCCTGCGCCAAGGCGTTGCTTTCCTTTGGCTCGGAGCCTTTAAGAAGGCGTAGAATGCGGCGATGGCCCACGGGGGAAGCTGGGGAAGATGTACTTAATGGGTTCATATGTAGATAAATAGGAATAACTAGAGACGTAAAAAAAATATATACATATTGTGTTTATGTATACACATAAATCGCTATATATATACATATATATATATATGTATATATATATATATATGTATTGCGTGACACACAAATTGTGTTTTGCAGTTTTGCCCAAGGCTGTGTCGTTGCAGACGTTGGTAAGGCCGAAGCACACTTCGAAAAAGCGCTCAACACGGAGGGCTTGGATCCGGAGGAAATCAAACAGGTCCGGGCACCGTGAAGCCGGTGATCTCAGACATAGACCTAGCGTTGATAGACATAGCATCAGATATTCCAATAGACGTTAAGGTAAATGATGTTAATGGTTAATGAATCATATATATATATATATATCTATGGTTAATTGATGGATAATATATCTAATCATATATCTATAAAGAATCATCATGAATCATATATCTATGGTTAATGAATGTTAATGGTCATATATCTATAGTTAATGGTCACAAATCTATAGTTAAGGGTGATAAAATGTTATAAATCAACTTATAACCAGGGGCATCAGCTTGTGCAACACCGCTTTCCAGATGTGGCATGTCTTCTGGTTCTTAGACGTTCTGTTCAACAGAGCGGTCACAGTTAAAGCGGGCCTCGGTCAGACTAGGACTTACGATTGCTTTCAGGAACCGTCGTTTTGACGAGAAACCACATGTATATATATATATATAATAAAATAATAAATATGTATATATATATATATAATAATCTAATATGATATGATATGATATAATATGATATAACATAATATGATATAATATGATATGATATAATATAATATGATACAATATGATATATCATATAATAATATAATGTCATATAATATATTATAATATAATACAAAATAATATAATATAATATTACATTGCATTATGTTATATTATGTTATATTATATTATATTATAATTTATTATATTATATTACATTACATTATATTATATTATATTATATTGTATGTATATATATATACATAATACACATGGGTTTGCCTCAAAAATTCGAGAAGACCTTGAAACCCTCTGGTTTGGGACCTCGTTGTATCTGTGATTTGATTGTCATTTTGGGATATCCCACAGGCAAACACACTTTCCAAGCAGCAATGTGTGTGTGGTTCGTTCTTGTTGCAGCCAAAAACTGAATCCAGTTGCACATGTTACTGTATTTCGACCTTTATACCTGCTGTGGTTAGAAAAAAACAACAACTGCACCAGTTGGTAACTGTTGGTACTTTGAAACACTGTAAATAATGGTGTTGTAGTGGGATGAACCATCTACCAACTGGTGCAGGATTTCGCAACCATCCACACTATGGTAGGCTTCAGATTTCCAATATATTTTCTGCTTGGAATTGGGGAAGTCACCATCTGTTTCTGGTGGTGCAAGTGGCTCAACAAAACCGAGCCCCTCTTTCAGGCTGCGGTTTCTCAAACTGAGACCTCCCAAGGTACCTTGGAAATTGGGACATCCCCAGATCAAAGGTATTGCCCAATCTTTTCCCATATTTTTGGATTTTTTCCTATATGCCTATAAGTCAAAACCCTTGGACACTAGGTACCCTAAGTCATAGCTGGTATGGATGTTCATTCCCCCAGTCGCGACAATTTCATAGGTAACTTGACCCAACCCCCGTAGTTTTCCCATAGTTTTCCTGCCCAAGCATTGCCACCCCACGTGCGACTCAATGTCCAGGTCCGACAGGATCTGGAGCGCGTGCAGAGCGCCTACAGTGCGCTGAAGGTGAAAGATCAGGTGCCACGACCTGTTGGACCTCAGCATTTCCACAGGATCTATCAGGATCTATCATCAACAATAGAATATACTTATATATATGTATATATATATTATAGATATTAATTGTGAATGTCGGGAGTATATCTATATCTTTATATCAATCATTGTATACTGAAAATCACGGAACTATTTTTTGATTATTTTTTTCTTGGGAAAATCATGGGAATAGATGGGGATTTAACCAAGAACGAGTATGGAACGATTGGGATTTCACCAACATCATGGTGATGTCAGATACCATAAAGGGCCCAGTCGATGTGTCTTTTTTGGCATTTTCCCAATGGGAAATCCATCGCATGTGGAATCCAATGTGGAAAATGTTCTAGTTCTTGGCGAGTTCCTTAAGCAAATCCAAGATGTTCCAATGGGATATGATTCTTGAAGTTGGGGACTATTGCTATGGGATATGAATTTCAGAAAGCCATCTTTTTTCTGGTATTTATGGAGATAAAATGCGAAACAATGCGGATTTGATTCCTAAAAATAGGGGATGAACTAATGGAAATAGGGATTTAACAATCAAAACAATTGGAGGACGGTTCATGGGGTGGTCGCCGTTGATAGAATTGATGATACATCATGAATATTTTTCCTAAGGAGAAAAAGGGATAGTGATGTGGATATGGGGGATATTTCATGAGAACTAGCTCGTATTTTTAGCCAACCATCAATCATGGGATGTTTTGTGCAATTATTTATGCGGATACACACTGACAATGATACGCAGCTGGGTTAAAACGGATTTATAATGGGATATTTCATGGGATACAACTAACCAATGTGATATGATATTTGGGTGTGCCTGAACATGGGGATACCCCCCCAAATGGTAATTTCAATAAGGAACATGATGACACACCATCGGTCTAGGGAGTATGCTGCTTTCAGACAAATCCACGTGTTTCTGATTAAGTTGGGTAGGCGAGTTGATTTTTGGCCAGGCCATAAAATGGATACACGTGAGGAAATAACATATGTCATACCGAGCTAAAAACTAATCATATAGATCGTATACCCTCTGGCTATTTAACATAGCCATGGGAAATGGCCCATTTATACAGGTTTAGCTATTAAAAATGGTGGATCTTTCCATGGCTATGTTAAATAGCCAGATGGTAGATCGTATAGATCACATAGATCATGTAGATCATTTTCCCAGCTGTCAACCTCCATGGCTAGGTTCGGATTTCCCAGAGGCCCACCATGTTTCAACACCCTTGGGGGTGGGGAAAATCATCTGTCTCCAGCAGAATTGACCCAAGGCCTTTGTGTGCCTTCTCCCGAGTTAGACCCCCCAAATAGTCATGAATCAGTCACCAATCATCACAAAACTACGTATATATATATACACATCCATATGCATATGAATCTACATGAATCTCTGTCAATCACTATCTGGACGCATACTTCATGGCAAACAAAGAGACACCAGTCAGATATCGGCCGGACCCGCATACTTCAGGCCGATCAAAGCCTGCGACAGGGAGACGAGGAGGTGTTTTTCCTGGGCAGGGGCATAGTTATGAAGATGTATCATGGATTTGTCTGAAAATAGGGTACCTCTCGCTCTCTATTATATATATATATAGGTTAACCATCATTTTGCCTAGTAAAAGTTTCATTTGGGGGCCATACACCATTTTCAGACAAATCCAATGGTTTCTACAGGTTTTTTAGAGATGTATATAGAGGTTTTCTGAATGCTACAAAGGTCTCATAGATTTATAGTTGTTTGTGGGGTCACCGCCCCGGGCCGGGCGTGAAGACACAGAACCGACGAAAAAAGACAGCTTTCACAGCCGAAGTTGGCGCGCTGCAAGGTTGTATTTTGAAATATTGACCTATGGATGCTAAGATTAAAAAAACAATGTCACGGAAGCATCATTTACCCTCTGGTAATTTAACATAGCTATTGAAAATGGCCATAGAAATAGTGGATTTACCCATTGAAAATGGTGAATCTTTCCATAGTTTTTTGTATGTTTACCAGGCCGGGTACTGTAAATTGAGCAGTTTGTTATGCTCATTCCTGATTCAAACTCCCAAAGCCCGCCTCAAGACAGCATTTCTTTGCTTACAAAACATGTGTGAAAAGCCAACTGGATGGATTTCAACCATATTGTTACCCTCTGGTAAACATACCAAAACCTATGGAAAATCACCATTTTTAATGGGTAATTTTACTATAAATGGTCATTTTCAATAGCTATGTTTGTTTACCAGAGGGTATTTTTTGGTTGTTTTTGGAGAACAGATGGGTGAACACCAAATAGCAAATATCATCAACTCTCCCAGTAGAAGGGACTGTAGACTTTAGAGAACTGGGATCAACAAAGCACCAAGGCAATTTATGAAGAAATCCAGTTGGGTATAATTTGGGATGCTTTGTAATAATGTTCGGTTTGGAACACCCCAACAAAAATAATGCTTGATCATCATTTTCTCCGTATAATATGGCATGGTTGGGGTTTACTGCTTCATTTTCCAAATGGTAAATTTGGGTTTTCTCATTGCCTATCTGAGATTACCAGAGGGTGACTCCAGAAATTTGCGTTCTAAACTCTAAACTGCACTTGCAAATATGGAGGTTTCCTAAGTCATGGGCCGGTACCCCCAAATCATAGACCATTTGAGTATTGCAACCCATAGTTTTGGGGGGTCCCCCATTTTAAGAAACCCACCCATATAGGGTCTATGATCACGCACAGTCACATCTCGTTGAGCAGTCCCTTCAGGCAACATTTTCGGGATGGGATATAATGTGTCTTTAATTAATTGTGAGATTTTCTTTCATACCCGCCACCTGTGCATGGGGTGAGAGATCGTGCAGTGAACCTGACACATGCCTCGCGTCAAAAGTTGGATTGAAGGGCAATATTATCCCAATATTGAGGGATGCTCATCAATCCATTTCATAGGGATTTACATATATATATATAGATACATATGTATGTAAAAAAAAACAGCATATGTACCATGGTCAAAACATGGTATACTATTTGCCATTTTGCCATGGCACCTTTTTTCGGTGGTACCTCTAAGATAGTTATCCATCCCATACTGGGAATCCTTACGATGGCTACACAGAAAAACATATACAGAAAAATCCCAGATAACCATCTCATAGGTACCACCATAAAAAGGTGCCATGGCACATAGTATACCATGTTTTGACCATGGTACATATGCTGTTATAAATTTGTCCCACATTTTCTGTTGAGTAGTCCCTCTAAGTAAGAGAGACTACTTTCCAACCCGTGGATGGGCGATTCTCAGGACAACATACCCATCATATTTCTGGTTCCATCGCCACTTGTTGGGTCAAATCCAGAATCTTTTCCTTCCGTTACTTCCCTGGCAAGTGTCGATTTTGCTGTTTTTTTTCCCAATATCAGTTTCTTCCTTCCAGTCACTTGATCTGGATGTTCATGTGTTATTCATTTGTCAAATTACAATTGGGATTCAAACCCTCTGCCCCATTTCGGTGACCAACAATTCTTGGGCTTCTTAAAGGCGAATCATGACCATCGATGGTTGAGATTCGTGTTTGAAAAAAAGTGCTTCGTGGTGGTTTTTCATCTCCAAATTCTCATCCCATTATATCCCATCACATCCCCATCACGTATAATTTTCCCAATATACATATATATTAATATACATACATACACGTAATATATAAAATATATATATAATACACATAAACATACCCTCTTTCTATATATATATATATAGGTGGTTAATAACTCCAGCCATTCCTTGGGCGGGGGTCACCCGGCCAACCGCCCTGGCTTTTGAAGGCGGTAGAGAAGGCCTTGGAGCTCTACGGCCAAGCGGATTTTGCCACAAAGCAGGAGACGGTGCTTGCGGTGGAATGATGGGAATGATGGGGGGATGGGTCAAAACCCTGGTACCTAGTGAACCCCAAAATAGCTGGTAAATGGATGTTCATCCACTAAAAATGTATCTATAGGTATTGACCCATACCCATGGGAATGATGGGAATGATGGGAATGATAGGATGGGGGCGGTGGATCATGGGATGTTATACTCTTTACAGTAAATGATGGGATTTTCATCATTTCCGAAACCAGCATTTTATAAATGATTGTTATGTTATATTGTTATGGAAATGATATTGTTGATGGGATTTTCATCATTTCCTTCAAAACACCCATTTCCATAACCATGATTCTATTGGGGAAACACCAACATATGTTTATCACCATTTCATAAATGATGTTCAGGAAAAAGAAAATATGTTGGGAATTATATTAATGATGGGATTTTAAGGTGATTTCATGGTTATAGCCATGGATTTGATGAGATATAGCTACCATGAAATATTTACATAATATTATTATGATGATCCCCAAAATGGCAAAAACAGCTTTTCAGGTGAGTGAATGATTGTTGTCCAGATACATACGATATAAACTATGAGTATCTATGTGTAACTATGTGTAACTATGTGTAACTATGTGTACGTAGCATTAACCTGGTTTTTGGGACTGGTGACCGGTTACAAGGAATCAGCCGGGTCAGCCAAACAGCTGGGTCAGCCAAACAGCTGGATGTTTCATGATGTTTCCGAAAAAAATGGGGGGTACCCACTTATCACTTAGAAAACCATGGCCCCCTATCAAGCCACAACCTTGGATCATGATCCATCGGAGTCCATGACCTCTGAAAACGGCCTGATCAGCGCTGAATCTTGGAACACCAAACATAGTTTGATCTTTCTGGAAAAAGGAACTCTAACCAGTTTCTAAGATATGTGGGGTTTTCTAAAATGCTAAAATCCTCAAGTCACCATGGCTTTTAGTACTAAAATGGCGAGAAATTTTGGGATGATTGGGGGTAGGTCCATGACTTAGGAAAACTCCGTGGTTCCAAGGGGAAGAAAACGGTGAGGAATGTGCCGTAGTGATGGCCAATCGCTGCTTGGCCCATCTCCAAACCAGCCAGCTGCAGCAGTGCCTGGAAGATGTTCCGACTCCCAGGGTCAGGATCAACGCGGCAAATCTCAGGGTCAGGATGTGTTCACATGTTCATCTGATATATATATATATAATTATATATATATATATTAATATATATATATATAATTATATAGTTAGTATATATATATATATAAATAGATAGGTAGGTACCAGGTAGGTAGATAGATAGATCGACAGATAGATAGATATAAGATGATATGATATAAGTATGTTTGTGGATATCTGTAGTACATGCCCCAATAAAAGTCACAATTTTTGATGGGATTCCTGCATTTTCAGACACGCCTCAGTGATTTTGAAGTTCACTTTGCTTTTTCCAATGACGTATATAGTGGATTTTTGGTAGAAGCTTTATGTTTGTCTACACTGTAGCTAATATATTATGCCAGTTTTTTTTGCCAATGACATGTGTTGCCATAGTCTAGACTTTCTATAGCATTCACTTGGCCCCAAAGAGGGTCCTTCTTCTCAGCATTGAATACCCGAGGGCTTATTAGTTGGTTTAGTGATTCGCATCTTCTTTTTTGTTCAACCTACAACAGCAGGATGGCAATGCTCACAACGTCACCAGTTTTTTGGCTCAACCGATGGCCGCGATCATGAAGCACTTTGGGGTGGAAGCTCGGGCGCGACGTTATGACCCTCACAGCAGGCGTCTGGGCTGAGATAGAGAAACTGATGTGAGGAAAAGGACCAAGTCCGTTTTTTTTGTTTGTTTTCTTGCTGCTCTTCTGATCTTTGGCCTGCATCCATTTTCGGGTTTCTCTGAAGATAGGGTACCCGGGTACCCCTGAATACACTGGTTTATCATCATTTTCCATCTTAAACTCGTCATTTGGGAGTGTTTAACCCATTTTCAGCCCCGCCGAAGGTATGGAGGGCATGGTGGACAGAGCTTGGCGATGGGCCTGCCAGAAACCGGCGCATCCATCCTGGGGTATCATGGCGTGCAGTGCACCGTCCAACGGCCCAGCCTAGGAGATGGGGCATTGGGGGTTCAGGATGGGCTGTGGCTGCTTTCAGAGGGCTTGGCAAGCAGTACTCATGGCCATACAACTGTTTCTTAAACATGTTTTTTTTTTGCCTCTTTTTTTCTTGAAAGGAGGGACTTTATGATTAGATTCAGATGGTGTGAGGTTGTGCAGATCATGTCGGGTATTCAGATGTGCGGGTCCATCTCACATGCAACTGTTGTCACAGCGTCCCTTTTTCGTTGGAATATGTAGGAATGCCGCTTCCACCAAGTCGAATTATCTCATCACCAGCAATTATCCTGTCAAGTCAGGGGTAGTTCGACAGTTTCTACCATTTTTGTGAGAACCTATCAGGTGAACTTCTGAGCTATCCCTCAATGACATCAGGGGCTCGGGGCCTGCAATCAAATCTGGAAATCATGAAAAAAAAAAAAAATCTTGAAAACTATCATTGTTTTTTTAATGATAAGATCTATTATTGGGATCAATCATTGTTTTTTCACGAAAAATGGTATCATTGGGACATCAGCCATGGTTGACAGGAGATGGTCTGGTGGGCGTGTCCAAGTTAGAGCTTGAGAGCCCATCGCTGCTGGACACCGAACGCACCCTTCCCTGGAGCAAGGGACCCAAGCAGGCGCGCTTTCTGGGGGTTCTTAAAATGGGGGTACCCCAAAATGGATGGTTTACACTGGAACATGCTATTAAAATGGATGATTTGGGGGTACCTCCATTTCAGGAAACCTCCACATATTCAATCATATTTCCCAAGAATTACAACATGGATTGAAATCGTGGAATGTTGGGATCCCAGATATTGCATGAAAGAAATGCTTTTATAAACACATTCTTTGGTGAGGGCTCGTTTCTCGCAGGGAAGACGTTTGTTGCTCCAGCTTCACCTTTTGTACCGCAGATAGTTTTGTCGTTGTATTCACTAACTTGCTAACTGGGAACGCATCAAACAATCTCTAACCTTCCAGTTGCCTCTGAGATAGGTAACCAGCGTGATTTTACGTTGTGATCTTGAGGTCACCTATTATCTGGCAGGAAACTGGAAGATGCGAAAATATTACACCGTGGTTGATATGTGCGTGAGAACCATCAAAGATATCCCAGCAGATCTATTTTTGTTTGACAAATTATGCGTTTTGTCTCCTTTCAACAGGATGGAATAGCATGCTCATGTTCTGGTCTGTGGTATGTGTCTAACTGTCGAACCACACCCAGAACTGAGAGAATACAATTTCACTGATAAGAACTTGGTTTCAGCAAAAACAAGTGTGTAGATACACTTGGAAAGCAAGATCCTCCAAACCCAGGCTTTCCTGATCGTTTTCCCGCCAGAACAGTTTTTTTTTTTCCAGTTGTGAACACTCCCTGAGCCCTGAGTGAATTGTTGCGGCGAATCGACAGGAATAAAATTCAGGACACCCCTAAACCCTGAATTTTCTGCAGGACCCCAGGACCCAACCAAGTTCCAGGGGTCGATCCATCGATCCACCGCTTCGCAGATCCGAGATCGCTCCGAGCTGTTTCATGTGGCGGAGTTTCTGGAGCGGCAGGCGCGGAGCTTGCAGGGCCTAGGGCCTAGGAGTTTGGATTTTTTTCGCCGGTGATTCCGTTGATAGGAAATGACATATCACAAAAAATGTTGGTATATTTGGAAGTGAAGTTGATATTTTCTGGAGAATATAAATTGGTGCTGGCCCCATTGCCAGAAGCCACCTTGTGATTACAGGTGCCATAAAATATCCTTGGATAGATCCCCACTAGTCCCGGGTGACACCAGCCAAGAATCTACTCCTGGATTGTAAACCCGTGTCGATCAATGGAGGGGAAAATTGCTCACAAGTATCCGGACAAGGAATGCATGGCTATCAAAATGGTACCCCATCACGATCCTAGGGTTTATGCAAACCCGTTTGACCCTTGATGTTTTTATCATGTTGGTGGCGAATTTGGGTGTGTCTGACAATGGGTTGGATATTTGCAGTTTTCCATGGATTTGGGGGTACTATATTTTCAGTCAGACCCATTTTCCTTATTTATCTTGTTAAGACTCTGAGAGCATCACTTTTCTTACTGGTACTTAGCAGGGAATGGATGGGAATGGGGGAATGGGATGATTATTGATAATTATTGTGGATCATTCCCTCATTCCCTACTAAGCACCAGTAAGTTTTTTCTGATAAAACATCGCCACTGTGCTTCATCGCCATGGCGTTCGTCCTCCGGTAATCAAACATGGCTCGAAAATCATGAAGCCTTGGTGTTTTCCCATTCAAACCTCCAATTTGTCGAGATTTTTCTCATTGAAACCTCCAATTTGTCGATGATTTTCCCATTCCCAGAGAGTCAACTTCTCATTTTGGAGCTATCGCTATCAAAAGGTCGAGCCGCAGTGTGTCACCAAGAGCCGGCGGTTTGGGATCCCAAAAGCCGTTCTTGTTGATTGGTCAGGAGTTATACTACCTGGATGTTTGGGAATTATGAACTAAGCCATGGGAAAGCGTTTTCAAGTATGATGAGATCGGATAGGGGTATTTTTATGTATTTTTGATGGTGATGAAGAAACAATGTGTCTAAAAACATCACATGGGAGACCTTAAACAGTTGGATTGACTTCAACTGATACTGTACAAACAGACAAACACTGGAATATAATCCTGAACATGATCCAATATGGCGTAGGCTTTACCAGTGATAAGCCATGACCAACATCTGCGGTTCCCCACACTCCCCGGTACCCTGAAGACCTTCAAAACGAAGATGCAACTCGAACGGCTTGGGTATTGTGGATCATTTCTTGTCCGCTTGAGAATTGCCATCAATTACATATTTACACCCTTTTTTGTGGGGTTTCAGATGTTTGCAGAGATATCTCAGGGGTGGTTTTATGTGTTCATATAATTACATACACATTTTTCCATGGCCTGAGATGTTGATCACTGGCATTTTGCGCATTCAAAGGTGATCTTTGATGAGGATGGCACCATGAATATTTGGAGTTCCAATGCCACCAAGGAGAACCTATAGGTGGTCCATAATCTGGCGATTTTCTTTGGAACCTGGCACCTCTCAAAAAGATGCCGAAAAGTGCATCTTCACAACTGTACTGGGGATTTACTGTTCGGCATCTTTTGCGGGATGACCATCTTGTGGGACATTTTACTTTTCGATCTTCAAAATGCGGGTGAGTATACATATCCGAAAAAACGAAAAACCACCTAAGACCACCCATACTGGCGGCTTCACAGGCGCGGAAGCCATGGACATGCCGAAAATCCTCACGGAATTTTGCAGGGACACACCCCAAACATCAGAACTTTTTCTATGCATCCATCTTTCACATTGAAGCTCTGGTTTTTTTGCTGGTAGATCTGGGGTCGGTAACGTCCTGATAGCTCACAGGTGCCCTGGGGTGGTGGACACCAAATACCTTCTACCGGTAGTGGGCCTACTGCACACGAAGCAGAAAACCATTGCGGCCCAGCTGAGTTCAGCCTTGGCTTCTCTGGATGACTTTGACTCTTGGGGAGTTAGTTCCCTGTCAAATGTTTAAAGGTATGTTAGGTTGGTTCCATACGTCAGTGGAAACCAAAGCCGCAAACACCGTAATACATACTGTATATATATAATATATATATAATATATATATTGCTATATATATATATATTGCTATATATATATATACACGTATATATAATAAGAATGGTGCATTGAAAATGACTGATTTGTGGCCAACTGTTGTGGCCAACGGTTCAATGGGTCCCACTATGAAACCCGGAATTTTCACCAGCTGAGATCCTTGTTGAACCGAGGTGGAGCATGACCCAGAAGCTCAGTCGGGCCAGGTGGAGCTTCTGATTAGCCGAGTGGAAGGCTGGGTGAAGGGGTGAGGCAAAACCGTCTGGGAAGGGCAGGTGAAAATGGATCAATTTGTGCTATCTTGATGGGGGCATGGCATATCCAGCTAGGAACTCGTTTTTGGAGGACTTCTTTGATTCAGATTTGCTTCAGGGAAAATGTCTGATTTTCGATCAATCTGGATGGCAAAACGCAGACATTCGTTTCTTTTGTGTAGCGAGCTTCAAGTTTGACATGGCACTTGAATGAAACCATTGCCAGCAGTGACTTTCATCCTGAAGCAACCTGAAGCAACCTGGACATTGGCAGGAGACATGTTTTTGGCAAGCAAATTGTTTGGCTTGTGCTTGTTGAGCTGGCAAAGGAGGATTGTGGTTTGGTGTCATTTTTTAAATTTGGATGAGGACAAGAAGGGGCTAGAGATGGTTTGCAACAGACCACTGGATCCCCCCCACTTGATCTTCACCACTGGATCTCAAATTCTGGCAGTTTGGCTGTGGCTTAGTTCGCCGACAAAAACAGAAGGGACCACGGCAGTTCGAGGACTTGCGGGCACCAACCATAACCACTACCCTACTATCCGCATGATTTCGAATTTTGTGGCTGTGGCTGTATCATTTCTGTCATTTCTGTAACCCGATTTGGCAAAGCACGATTTCTGGTGGGCCTTTACACATGTTTCTATTTCTGGCCTTTCCTGGGATCATATGTTTTTTCCATGTTTTTCAGGGGGGTTCCGTGGATCCAGTGGCCAGATGTTGGGTAGGCGCGGCCAATCTCCGTCGCGTGCCCATCACTTGCGGCTGGTGCCGCCGCGGCTGCAAGCGCTGTTCGAAGAACAAAGGGTTACTCGGAGAAAACTGGGCAGGTCAAGCCGTGTCTGGTGAAGTTGGGGATGTTAGTGGAACATGAACTATATAATTATAATTCATGAGAAACACGATTGATTGATCTTTGAATTTGCTTAGATCCAAGTCCAAGTTTTTCTTTGGATATTATCCCACATTTGGGTAAGGGTAATTTCAACGGTTTGGGGTGTGAACTGATTTCTGCGGCTAACACGAATCAAACTGATTTCTGCAGCTTACACAAATCAAACACGTCAGTGGAAATAGTGGTTTTCATGGAGTTGGGCCTCGAAAAAAAATTGAAAGTGTCTGATGAAACAAAATGCACCTTGTCCATACACTGGAAGTCATTCAGCTAGAGTTAGTAATTATATGTGGAGGTTTCCTAAAATATGGGCACCCCAAAGCCCCAAACCATGGTTTTCCATTTACAATCTAGCCAAATAACTTGGATGATTTTGGGGTACCCCTATTTTAGGACACCTCCATGTGTAGTCTCTTCCACCGCCCACCATTCTTCCGGCTGTTTTTAGTGGGCCTTCTCCGGCCTTGCTTAGTTTGGAGGTCCCCCATTTTAAAAAACCAGATCTTCTGGACATCATTGAGCCTAGAATCATTGGCACGGCATGACCAAGAAAATCTGCTTGGTGGTTTGGAATATGGCTTTTATTTTTCCATTCAGTTGGGAATTTCATCATCCCAACTGACGAACTCATATTTTTCAGAGGGGTAGGTCAACCACCAACCAGTTAAATGGATTGTGAAAGTAACAGAAACAGTGGGATGTCAGTGTCGTCTCCAAATGGATTTCCCATGGATTTCCCAGCGCAGTCGATTTTTTTTTGCCTAAGGCGGGGAGGACTGTGCAAATCCATCGATGAGAACATCAAAATGAAGCGTGCCTTGGCGCCGGGAGAACCAGCAGCCTGGCTTTTTTTTGGGGACATCTTTTTTCCTACTTTACTGACTTTACGGATCTTTCCTATTTTGTTTCACGTTCTGTTTTTATCATAGTTTTATCAAATTTATTGATGTGATCATTTGTTCTTGGTCCGAACTTTGAAGCCGAGCTTTAGAATCGAAGTTGTTCCAATCTTTCCCGAGTGAAGGTGTCCACCACCACCACTGGACTATAACAAAACCCTAGCGATGTTGGGATTCTTCGATTCTTCTTGGTTGATTAGTGAGGGGGTTTTCGATATCCTACCCAATATATATAATTATATGCATATATATATATATGTATGTATATATATATATATGTATGTATATATATATATATATATTGGGGATTATCATGATCTGTGGGAAATCCAGCCCCACCAATTGTTGTACTCGTAAAGTCTCCAGTGGCTTTTCCTCTGGATCTGTTGTGCAATCAGCCAATGGTGAACTTCTTTCGGCCTCAATTTTGCTGCTGAGTTTCCATGTGTTTTTTTGGAACTTTGAAACACTGTGTTGTTAATTTAATCCAGATTCTTTTACTCAAAACTTATATCATAAATCCATTTTTTAAAACATGTTTCCGAGATTGACTCACTTTGGATCGCTTTTTTAAAGTCCCGTAAAGAAAAATAGCCATGCACATATACCCCCCATGAACATTTCATCAACGTCACCTTTGAATCCCGATTAAGATATACCCCCATCCTCATTCCCATGTGCCGAAGATCGTATAATTATACTTAATATGTCTTGATATTTGATATAGTTCCCTCGATTATGTTATTGTTGTTCTTATAATTGATCCCATTCGGATTCTAATTTCTAATTTCTTACTAGGATTGTTTTTGAAATTATAATCCTAATGGGATCAATTGTAACAACAATAACATAACTCCCATTGGGAGTAATCCTAATCCCATGGATTAAAAAGTGTTATCCTAATGAAATTTCCCATGACATTCATGCTCCCATTAGATCCTCCATATCCATCCACACTTTTGAATCCCATTATCTGTTCGTACTATATATATATAGGTAGAACTATTCCATTATCTTAGGTTTTTTTTGGTAACCCATCTAACAATCCCATCATCTTATCTGTTTTAACAGGGTTTATATAACTATCCCATTGTCTTGTTATGATTATATGCTGTAATATCAACCTACATGTTGTTCCATAGATCTGTTGTTCCATAGATCCATTACTCTCTGGCAATCAAGCATGGCAATGGAAAATCACCCATTTACAAATGTTTTTTTTGCTAGAACCCAATTAAAACCAGGATTGTCAATTGCCATGTTTGATTTTAAAATCGCATTATTACAACACCATTGAACTCCTATAAATCCCATGAAATCCTTATTGAATCCTTGTAAACTCCCTTAAACTCGCATTCAAGCCCTATTGAATCCCCATTCAAATCCAATCCAAATGCCCAAAAAAAAATCGAGTTAGAGCCATGTAAAGTCCCTTAAAGTCACATTAAACTCCATTGAATCCCTATAAAGACCCTTATAAGAACCCCAACCGAGAACCCGTAGCCTCTGGTCTGGCTCCGGCTCAGCACAGGTCTGGCGCGGCGTCGTGAGGCCGTGCAAGAGCTCCCGGAGGCCCCGCCCTTGGACTCACCAAAAGGATGTGTGATATGTAAACTTATATGATTTATATGATATTATATTATGATATGTTATGTTATGTTATATTATATCATAATACGTGATACTATAATATACATGAATTTTATGATATAACATATAATTATGAATATATATAACTATATGAGTTTCAGACATACATGTACATAAGATGGTGTGTATATATATATAGGTATGGATATGTTTCTTTATAACGAGGTCACTGGCCAATGTCACTAGACATGATGCTTTACGTCTGGGGAAGTCTCCCAAAATGGACCAATGATTTCCGGGCATGACCTGGCTGCAATCGTCGGACAAAATATATCACTGTGAAGCAATTTTTGATTGGAGATGAGGGATAGTTCTAGGCATATCAGACTTTATCTGTATCAGAATCTGTAAAGAACCAGCAATATTGATCATATGTTCATATATTTTCTGATTCCAGTCGCTTTAGGCTTTTCTGGGGAAACCACTCGAGCTCACGCTGGTGGTGAGGCCCTTGCATTGGAGGATCTGCACTACAAGGCCTTCAAAAAACCGGCTTCCAAGCTGGATTTCACTGAGTAAAATATACGACATATGGAGGTTTCCTAAAATGAGGGTACCCAAAAATCATGGCTATCAATACTTAAAATGATCTAATTTTGGATGATTTTGGGTACCACTATTTTAGGAAACCACCATATACGTATACCTGTGTATGTTTTTCTATTTACATCTATTTACTGCATGTACATGTACACATATCTATAGGTTATATATGCAGCGTCAAAGAAGGCTCTCTCTCTCTCTCTCTGACGGATCACCCACAGAGCTTGTCTGCTGATGCTGGAAGAAGAAATATATGGTGTTCAATCCTTTCGGTTGGAATGCTATAGGGATGCTATAACATATTTGCATGTACATAGCTATATAATATAGTATGGTATGCCATTAATAGAACATTATACAATATACATTGCCACAATAATACCACATATGGTTCTTGGTAGTAGCAGTTGGTGTATGCTTCCTATTGCAGCGATGCTCAGGGGCTGTCTCTGGCAGACTATCTGGACACTCTGAGGGATGTGCAGGAAGAGAAACCACATGAGGCGAGGTCACTTTTCGGTTGCGACGGGTTGCGACGTGATTTGTGTGTTTCCGTCAGGATGAACATATAACGAGTTACTGTAACTAGCAAAAACCATCAAATTAACCATCATGGGACTATCATCACATTAACCATCAGTAAATGGGACTATCATGGGAATATACCCTCTGGTAAACTAACATAACCATGGAACATCACAATTTTTAACGGGTTCATGATCTATAAATCTGGCATGTTCCGGTCTCGCCAGCAGGCCACACTGGAAACCCAAGCGGTTTCGATATCCCATCGGTTTGGTTTTTGAATTCTCCGTGAGTTTGATGATTTGATGAGGATTTGTTGATGATTTGTTGATGATGGTTGATGATTTGTTGATGATTTGTTGATGATTTCTTGATGATGGTTTGATGACTCTTGCCGACTCTTGGGTGCGGTGTTACACAGTGATACGCCCTGATGGTTCACTGTGCCGCCCAGGGCCTGTCTCTGTCAGACTATCTGCCGCAGCAAGATGAACCATACCAGGCCAGCCATTCCATAGCAGTCATATGCCATCCTGAAATCAATGAGATATGTGGGCATGTTTAAATACTTACATATAAGATATATCACTATATACATCTTATGTATTATTATCATTATATGATTATATATCTTACATGTTCTATATATATATAACTTATATAACTATATGGCTTATGCATATTATATATACGTGCTATTATACATACATATTGTGTATATATATATATATAAATAGATTACACATAACACACACACACAAACACACACACACACATATATATATACATACATACAAAACATGTACTCTGCAACCCTGAGGTTGCCGCGTCTGACTTCAGGTGGCTATGAAGATAAAGTTGATGTTATTACCCCAATCAACATATTGTTCATAGGGGGTGGCAAATTTTGATCCCTCATGGAGATAAAGTTGTTGTGATTACCCCAACCAACATATTGTTCAGAGGGGGTGGCAAATTTTAATGTGATGATGATCATGATGTGACGATGTGAGTATGTGACTGTGTGATGATGATGGTGATGATGATGATGATGATGACGATGATGATGATGATGATGACGATGATGATGGTGATGATGGTGATGATGATGGTGATGGTGTTGTTGATGATGATGATCATGACCATGATGATTGTAAGTGTGACAGCAACGTCCGGGTTGGCGCGAACATGTATCGTCGTTCCAAGTTCCTGCGAACTTGGGACAATTGTTTTTTGCCACGACGGCTGGCCAGGTGAGCGAGTGCTCCTTTATTTTGGTGGACGATGATGTCCAGTCCTGCCACAGTTGGACCATGATTTGATCGAAGGGAATTTTGAAAAAGACCGCTGGAAGGGTTGAGGCCAAAGAACATTCATATGACCATTATGACCACTTGAAGTTGGAACTCAAATCATTCCTTGGTTAAGTCGACTTGTTTTTTTGTTGGCAGAAAATCTCATATTTGATGGTTCGCAATGCCGATAGCAGTGGCATGTCGGACCGACTTGTACAGATCTTTTAGTACCAAGCCCGCGCTTGGAAAGCATCGCTTCATAGATGCAACATGGCTCCTGGGAAAAGGTGGTGTGAAACTAGAGATCTCCCAGCTGGGACCCTTTCCCCATCTTTCCCCGCCGATGTACAGCGCTCCCCAACAAAGACGACTTCGCCTGATGAAAAAAGGTGGCGAAAACCGCTGAAGCCGCCTGGACATGATCAGTTTCATCCCCAATGTGAGCAGTGGTTTTTCCCAAGTTGTACCCTCTGGTAAATTAACATAGACCCTGAAAATAGCCTAGTTTTAATAGAAACTAATCTTCCAACCCCTATCTGCCAGGGTCTATGTTAATTTACCAGAGGGTACAATACTGGAGCTTGTCCATTTGCTTCAAATCCTTCATGTCAATAATATGCATTAACCATCGCCCCAGTGCACAAATGTGTGTCTTGAACCTACCTGGTATTGTGGGGATGATGACGCAACCCATAACGAGATCTGAGATACCTAGGAAGAAACCAGTATTTCGCGGGATGGTTATAGATAATTAATTCTTAATCGGCATCCATCGCGTGTTTGATTTAAGCATCACTAATCATATCTTATCTCATCCACCGATGTACCTACCTACCTAGCTATCTATCTACACGGCAAGACCCCATGGTTTGTCCGCAAGGTTAGAATGGAGTTCAAATATTATCCTTCGACATGCTCAAAAACCTCCGCAGGGCTAGTGTTTTGGTATTTAGCAGACGACGAATCCTAAACCCTAAAACCCTGAAAACTCTGAATCCGAAAGCAGAAAACACTGTGTATACGCAGTATATTCTGCAATTTCTCTTCTCATGTTCGAAGACAGGGAATCCTCAATGTTGCAGTCCGGGCAAACCACGGGGTCTGTGCGTATCTACAGTATCTATCTAACTAGCCAAAGTTAATTAGTAGATATGTATCTAGATCGAACCAGCCAAAGTTAATCAACTACATATATAATCATCCTTAAGTAGATATTCCCATTTTAGCGACTTTTTTGAAGTTTCCACATTCCATCCAGGATGACTATATAGAATGGTTGGTATATAATGGTTGATACATGATATTATGGTTGATAATCATTGATATAATTAAAGACAATTAACGTTACGTATATATATATACTTAACTCTATTCTGATATACATTAAACAATTAGATGTATCTAGATCCAAAATGTATCGCAGTTTAGATCAACAAATAATATTTCTCTCTAGTTCTGCTGTAAATGTTTGTATCTAGATCTAAGTAATTAAAAGTTCATTAAACACATAATCACAATAGATATATATATATAAACACTATTCCATACAGACTATATGATATATATATATAATTATATAAATAATATTTATCAATAATCATATTTATAAAATAATCGACATATAACCATATAATCATATTAAACATATTAATAGAACACTAAACGATAGTTAATTCAATATAATTATATACATATAGAGGCAGTCCATTCCCCACTTATAGCAGATAAGCCACTAGTCTATAATAACAATGGACAGTGATTCATAGTTAATATACAAATATTAGTTATATGATGTTATATGATATCCCCTAGTTATTTATTAATAATGCTAACTAACCTGGTTGGTGGTTTGGAACATGAATTTTATTTTTCCATATATTTTGGAATCATAATCCCAACTGACTTTCATATTTTTCAGAGGGGTAGGTCAACCACCAACCAGATAATTTATGATGAAAAACAACGCCCTTTTGGTTCCAGTGTTTCATAAGCCAACCTATAGACACAACGGGTTGATCCATCCCAGTTCTTTACTAATAGTACTACCCCCTGGTAAATTAACAGAGACCCTGAACATCACCAATTGATAGTGGTTTCACTAGTCTTCCAACCCCGATGACTGCCAGGGTCGAACTGTTAATTTACTGGAGGGTAACTAACATACAGAATATTCATGTATCAAATTGATCCACTAACATTAATAACTAACATACTATCACTATCATTGATCCACTAACTAACATACATTCCAACCGCTGGGCGACCAAGGCCTCCATGGCCCTTTCGGCCCTGAAGCGCTGGCCCGTGGCGCGGTCCATCAAAAAGCCCAAGCGGCCAACGCGGCTGGATCCACCATACCTGGATGCCTGGGGTGCTCAGTGGAGTGGGGGACTTCTTGGTGAATAGAATTGGGGGATTCCAAAAATGGAGTTTTCCATTTATAGTGGATTTTCCCATTAAAATCCTCCATTTATAGTTCATGGAATTTTGATCGAGTTTGGATTTTTAGTGGATCTTTCTTGTTTCTTTGATGGATTTGGATTTCCAGTAAACATCCATGAAAAATCCATGAAAATCCATTTGGACCTAGGCGTTTTTAATGGATTTAATATGATTTAATGGAAATTTAATGGATTTTTAGGTGGTTTCAATCATGATGAAGGATGGCTTGGCTTTTTAAGCAACTAATAACCATTATATAAATGAGATTTCAGCCACTAGTAATTAGGACTTAGGATTTATTGACATGTTTTTTCCAATGGAATTGAATTGGATTTACTTCGGAATTGGATTTACCCTTTTAATGGTTTTTCTATGTTTTTCTTATATCTTATTTTTTCCTGGGGTTGGACTTTGGGTTTGTGCTTTATAGGTTCTTTGGCGTTGGGTTGGACTCTTTTTCCCTGTGTCTTATCTGTTTTATGTTTTTCTTTTTTTTTTTTAATGGATTGATAAGATATGTATTTATAGTGATCTATGGGGTTTGGAACCACCGAAGCATGTCAGACTTGGTGAACTTTTCATGAAAAGAAAAGTGGGGATGTTATGAACAAAACAAAAATGGTGAACCGGCAAGAACAATGTACTTGCTAACGGAAGGAGAGGTAGCGAAAATACTGATTTGTGGGATCTTGGGAGACTGAGATTTCACTCAGTGATTGCAGCTGCCAAAGTCAAATTGGATGATACCAGATGAGATCCCCCAACTCCCCGTTTTTTGGTTTCCCTTTCGGTTGTTAAATTCGGTTAAATAGCATTTAAACCACCATTTCTCAACCACCATCTCTGGGATCTCAAGCTTCGAACTGCGGCATCCGGTGCATCCGGTGCATCCGGTCGCTTTGGCTCCCAGGATCCCACCTTTGTCCATCCGGACAAGCAGAACCAGGGCGAACGCGAGTGGCTCATGAAGCACAACGGTGGCAACGCCAAGGCGGGGATCCAGGTCACCGCGAAAGCGCGGTGCTTTTAGCCTCAGAAACGACATCAATTTTTATGGCACTTTGTTGGGAAAACATGGAAAAACCCTATCATATATGTATACGTATATGTATATATATATATACACACATATACATACTGTATATATATATATATATATACCGGAACTGATCCCCAAAACTTAGCTGATGCTACTGTACGCTATCCGATACGCTCAAACGTAGCACCAAACTTGGGCATCAGAGTTTATCAAGTTAGTGGAACTGCTCCCTACCATGATGGGTTGCTAATTACTCGTACCAGCTGATAACCCTGGTGAGATAGCCGCATGTATTCCTCGATTTTTGTGTCTTGTTGTTGGAAAGTCTCGTTGTTTCACTTTCCTTAGAAACGCTTTTGATTCTCAAAAAACATGGGCTTTCTTAAGTCATCAGGGATCCCCAGGCCACCATGGCTGTTTCGTGTTGTTTCCATACCAAGTTGGTCATCACGACTGACCGGGCTCCAGCTCCGGGCTTGATCCTGGCAGGAGCTTCCAGGGCTGCCGGATGAGTATGAATGGATCAAGGTGCGACCATCGATTTTCCTGGAAAGTCAAACATCCCAAAATGGAACTGTCATCTTTTGCCAAGAGCCATAATGGATCTTTTGATTATCTGTGGATCGAGAACCATGCCATTTTCCGGGTTCTCACATGAAAAGACATGAATGTTCGTTCCCAAAAAAATTGGCGTAGGTATTGAACCATCCCCACATAGTCAACGGAACCCACATTTAGAGATTTGGAATGAATCATTTTGCCAACTACAATGTGGGGCCCCCGTAAGAGAGCTAAGTTGGTGCAAATAACTCCAATTTCACTATGGTTTATGGTACGCAAATAACTATAGTTGATGGGGTTTATAAACCAACAAACATCACTGGGGGGCCCCACATTGTAGATCCTTTGGAATGTGGAGACTTTGGGTACCTTAAAATGGGATCAACCGAGTTGACTGAGTGGACTTCAAAGTCCCAGAAGGTTGAACTTTGGGTACCCCCAAGATGAAGATCTGGGTATGGATCAATACCTATTAATACCATTTTTAGGGGGATGAACATTAATTTTCATATATGGGTATGAACATCCATTTACCAGCTATTTTGATGTTCACCAGGGGTACAAGGTTTTGACACACTGCCATATGACGAGGAACGCTCCCCAGAAACAGTGGTGTGTTCTTCTTCGGAAACATGTTCTGAACGAAAACGACCTGAAGCTTGAGAATTTCATCCAGCATATCTCCGATTTTTTTTGATGGTTGGAGAATTGAGAAAGTTATCCTGTAAACTAACAATAACTAACATAGATGTGGAAAACCAACGGTTTCTCTAGGAAACTGGTCTAGAAATGGTGTATCTAATGATGGGTTCTCCAGGGAGAAGAGCTTGGTATGGCCGCCAATACATGGGCACTTTCATCGGCTGATGCAATGACTCATTTGGTTTATAACTCCAAGTCCCCTATGGTTTATGATACTTATAGACTGATCGTATAACTGTAGTTAATGGGGCTTATACCCAACCTAGCGATTTCGTTTGGCGACCCATATTGTAGGGATTGTTTGTGAACCCAGATCTTAGAGTCTCAATTCAACGTAAAATCCACTGTTCATTTTTTTGTCACATTTTTCACACCATGATGCTGGACAATTTACAGTACCCCCCCTGTGTGTTTACTGGCAAAACCTACTGATTTTAGATTTTCCCTTGAACCAAGCCATTGATCCATTAAATCTTAGAACTTTTCATGGTTAAACTCAGTGTTTTCAACTCTGTTAGACCATCATGGTATCCATACAATGTTGAACCAGTGGTGTTTTCCACGTGTTTTCCCACATGTTTCCCACCCTTTCCACATGTTTGTTGGATTTCCCACACCGAGATTCGTGCCGTTTTTAAACCTTCCGCAGGACGTGGCGGAGAAGAACGAGAACGCCTGGATCGCCGTGAAGAAACGGATGTCCAAGGCGCCCCGTTTCCATTGCAAGATGAGATTTTCCATCCTGCTTGGATGTATATATATATGTATCCATATAGATAGATACATATTATATATATATATACATATCATATATATATATATATGTATAATATGTACATACATGTTTCTATATATTTCAACCAAAACCTTCTGGATTTCACCCATTTTTTGTGGTGGTCATCCCTGTCATCCCCAGAAATCCATCCATCATGCCATCTCCAGGTCACCTTTGACGCCATCAAACGTGCCACGGCAGAGTTGCAAGATGTCGCCTGGCGGATTTCGCGGATTTCGGACATGAAACGCCGCGACCAAAAAAAGGGCAAGATATAGACTTAAGTCATTTACTATTTGTTTTAGATGCTATATGATGTTACTTTTTTGGGATGTCATTTTCTATGTTTATTTTTTGGATCTTATATTTTGTTTGAATATTGTTTATTTATTATCTCTTCAAACATTTTTTTGGGAGTGTTATATGTTTCTTTCCCAAGTTTTGGGGGTTAGCAAGAAAAACATCAACCATTTTGTTGGGTATAGCCACACCCCAAAAAGATGTCTGCCAGCCGTTCTGCTGAAACGTTTGGACGTATCTTTTGGGGGTTGTCAATGGATGTCACTGGCAAAGGGATGCCAGGCTGCGTTGCGCTCGGGGGTGCAGTACTGGCGTCTTCGCCCTATTTTCGGGTATGAAAAACTCAGATGCCTTTTTTGCCGAATTAAAGGGATTGAATTAGACATTTATTTTCAGTAAACTCCAAGCAGAATTGAATTACAAGGAACACACGTGTTGAATTAGGCACCTCTCCGAATTGAATCAAAAAAGCGACATGACCACGACGGCTTTTCTGAATCAAACAAGGGGGTGAATCCAACCTGGCCTGCGGGCCTGTAGACTTTGACCTGGCGCCCATGGTGGCTTTACGTGACGTTTCTTGGTGTTTTTTTTTAAAGGACACCTTTTAACGTATATTTTATTGTTCAATTGAATGGGAAACCCTTTTAACGAACTGTTCTAATCTGTTCTAGTGTGAAATCATTTGAGCAATAGATTCGCCATGGTCATGTTCATGGTTTCTGTTTACAAAGACTCATTTGGGAATGGATCAAAACCCACTGTTATAACTCCTATATGCCTGGGGGGTGATTCACACACACACACACACATAAGAACCAACTATTTTGCATGGGTTGGTAAATGTCCCGTTTTTTTTTCAACATCACTTTTTGAAAGACGTACTCGTATCTGTTCGAGAGATATAGCTCAATATCCCCAATGTTTTTCGTTGGGTGATGTAAACAATTAGGCTAAGGACACTTACAAAAATGGATAACCCCCCTAAGCACTGTTTTGGTGTGGTGAAAACCTCGGGAATTTCAACGACCGAGGCTTTATACACCCGGCAACCTGAAGTGATCCGACAGCAGATGGAAGTGGCTAAAGATCAGAACAAGGCTCCGGGCTCGCCCCGAGAACATGCGGTTTTCAATACTTGGGCTTTATTTGGCATTATCAACTAGTTTCTATAGATTATTCATGATTATTCCAAAAAACACCTGGTTGATTGGTGAGAAAACGTGGGAATAGGGGTTTTTAATCACTCAAAGGGGTGATAAATCATGGTTGCTTAGTTACTTAATGAGGATTCCACCATGAAACAATATGGATACAATCTTGAAATTATGATTCGGTGATGATTAAGTTACTGTATAATCCTAGCTACTAGATGCGACTAGTATTATACCTACATAAAGGGCATTGCACGATTGTTACTGTTGGCTATGGCGGTTGGGTGTTATGTGCAACTGAAGCTCGCTTCGACATGTTCCTTCAGATTCCATGTTTTTGCAAGACCTGAGTCACGGACAGCGGAGGTTTGCACAGAAGTTGATGGTTGAAGCCGAGGGCGATTTATTAATAGGTATATAATATAACTATGTTAGTGAAGCGCATAAGCAGGAATATAAGCCCTATAACTATGGTTATAATATATGGCTATATCTATCCAGCCATAGCCCAGTATAATGGGACACAACATATAAAGCCCTACAACTATGGTTATAATATGTTATAATATATAATATATGGTGCACATAGCCCTAAAACTATGGATATGGTTACAATATACACTTACAATTGGGACGATGTGCATCATTTCTTGCCAGCCTTCATTGGATTCGGCCGGATTCAGCCAGTGGCCTAGTTTCCGTTTCCCACAACTGAGACGATGATCCTCAACGAACCCCAAGAGATATATATATATAATAATATGTATATATATATATACTATAATAATAATAATAGTAATAATAATAATATAGTTATTTGTACATATAGGCTTGGGTAAAGCCCTGGGGTACCACAGATGGCTTAGTCTTTTCTTAGATTATTAACCATCCAGTCGGAGTACCCAATCTTGATCCATACCCAGCAACGACAATCGCGCCCGGCACCAGGTGGGTGAAGGTCCAAGTAGCAAGGCCATTTTGCAAGCAGAGGTCGGATGCCGCGCTTTTAGGCTATGGGGAAATCCGGAAAATCCCGAAGGATGCCACGGGTTTTTGACACAGATGGCCCCATTTTTTGGCCAGTTGATTGGACTAGGCTTTGGACTAGGCTGAAAGAGCATCCCAACCAAGTCATTTTTAGTCCATGGATATGGGGATGGGATGGATCGGCCATCGAGGACTATGCCAAAAAGCTGGAAGACTATGCGAAGGCCGGAGATTGGTCGCTGTTCTCGTTGATCATTGCATCATTATTTTATGTGTGTAACTATTCTCAGTATTGCCATGACTATTCTTATTATTGTTTATTCGTATTATTACTATGATTATTTCATTTCTATATTTTTTAGCATGATTGCTCATTATAACGGTAATCTCCCAGAGGCAGTCCCTTGCTTTCTCGGTCTCCCTGGTTTTGTCTGGGTCGAGGAGCAAGAGGCACAACGTGAGCACGAGGAGGCGGTGACGAAGATCGGGGTGCCATTCCAACTCATGGGCCTCTCCAATGCATGGTACCCCAATAGCTGGATGGTTTATATATGTTTAAAATTCAAAATCCTACAAATATGGATGATTTATGATGATTATATGATGATTTGGGGGTACCCCTATGACTTAGGAAACCACCAAAATACTTGGTTTTGTAACAGTCGTAGGGAGTCCCAACTTAGCTTCAGATCTATAGCCATAAAGATCACCCCAGGCACACCCAGTTTGTATCAACCGACCAATTTGGGTGTGACATTCGAGAAAATGTGCTCATGTCAAAAATGATGTGAAATCATACGATTTCATGATGCTTGTATATGCTTGTCATATGGTAGCATTTAGCTTTATGATATGAGAAATTATAGTATATTCCTTTTTAGCATGATCGTTATTGTCATCGTGTCATTATCATGATCGTTCTTGTTATTGACCAAGAGCCACCACTACGACCAGTAGAAGCATAGTGGTATCTTTATTCTTGCCAATGTTCATACAATTGTTTTCAATTAGTATTAATACATTTTCTATAGGTACTATTGTACACTACTATATATACTATGAGTAGATAATTACTACTATTTGAGCACAAGTAGTGATAATGAGTATGGTTATTAGTAGTCAAATCAGTAGCAAATTACAATATTAGTAGTATTGCAGAAAATATGATAATCACTATACCTATATAATCTATATACTATACCATTTTGTATTGGTAATCCCGTTATCAATTATCATAATTACTATTATGGACTTACTATTGTAATAGCGTAGTATCATCATCGTTTCTAATTGGTGATACTAATTAGTACTACGTATATTATAATCAATGTTAGTATAGTCTACACTATTGATGCCAATAGTGTTACAACCATTTACTAGTATCAGTAATATTATTGATATATTACTATATTATAGCATTAGCTTATACCATTATCATTTTCAAATCATTCTCATAATCATAATTTTACCATGACATACATGATGTGGTTGTATTAGTATCATTAGACGCAACAACCACTATTACAATTGTTGTTTGTTATTTTAACATTGTTATCATAACTACGATAATAACATCATCAATATCAATTTTGGTCATTGATACATCAGTTTTTAACACTGCTCTAACATATATATATATATGGAATACGTTCATGGCATCAGTTGTATTATTACAAGGTGGCCCCCCATTTATAAGTTGGTTTATAGACTTATGAACTATAGTTAGTTTTACCACCATAAAACCAAACGTTAATCAAGCTATGTTCGTCAAGTGAGCTATTTATTATTTTTAGGGGGCATACTATATATACTCATACGATAGTGTTAATATTTTACTATCTACTATACACTACTATGTTACTATTACTCCCATGACTATATTGTAGTGATATCAATCGTCAACCATTAATAATGTTAATGCTCCCATACTATGTAACATTACTGAAACCATTACTATTTATTTACTATTTCTATTTTCCTGGTTTAATGACTACTATCAATTATTATTGTAATTACCGTATTATATATCAATACGTTACATTACTACTATTCAAATTATTACTACTATCACTATACTACTATCACTATTCATATTATTCCTGTTAAACTTAGTTTTATTCCGATAAACTCAAATGCTATTAGTATCATTATTTTCGTTTTTGTATACTACAATACTCTTACCACTATCATATTGCTATCTCTTTGATTACTTTTGATTTGATATCGCATATACTAATAGTGAGAATATGATACCATATTATTACTAACTATTATTACTATTATATTAGTACTATTACCATTATATTAATAGTGTCACCATTATACGACCATATGATCATCATCAAATCACCCCCATGTCCACTCCCTCAGGAGGAGCTTCGACAGGAAGCGGCCGAATTGGACTTGACGGAGGTGCCTGGCCTGGAAAATGTGGGCTTTAATGGGCTTCAATGGGATTTTTCATGGAGATGTTCATGAGATGTACCGGGAATTGAATGGGATTTTGTTGGGGAAAACTCATGGTGATCTTCAGAATTCGATGGCATTTCATGGAATTTCATGGGGATATGAATGGTGATAAAATTCACCAAATTAATGATTTGATATGATATTGGCTCTGGGAATGGGGGACACATGTGTGGCTATCAATAATAGGAGATAATAGGAGACACTATAATTAATTATATAAGCATCACACGTTTTCTTTCCTCAGTTTCCACGGGCACCGAATTGGTTGAAGGGGTTTACAAAAAATATTCAGTGCTGGTTTCAAACACTTTTACTGTATATTCAAGGTTTTTTAACCATAGAACTATGATGATGGTTCCAATTGACGATCATATTTTGCAGATGGGTCAAGCACTTCATGTGTGGATCGGTACAAAAAGCATTCAATCACCATGGTTTCGTTTCCCCTAAGCCTTAAACCGCGGAAAATTAGCACTTGAACAAACATGGAATAGATCAAATTCCTGGTGAAACTGGGACAGTGCTACATTTTCCCAGGATAGAGGCAACACGGGATGGCAGATCTTCGTAGATAAACTATGGTCAATCATGGTACGTCCTGGTATATGAATAGTTTCAACATTCAACATTGAATGGCACACCCACATACTGAACAAAAACAAAAATAATACAAAATAGCAAGCTCATTTACAAAACACATTCAAAACCTGGCAAAACTAGTCATCATTAATACTTAAATGGGTTTGTCTAAAATTTGGTACCCAAGAATCCCAAAGGATCATATCGTTTTTCCCCATTTTTTAACATGGTTTGTCTTATTGGGGGTCAATCCCCATTTTCAGAGGAACGGAAATTCATGGATATTTGCATATATTGGTGGTTAACATATCACATCAATGATATCACCATTCTACTTCCATTCTACTGCCATTCTACTCCCATTTTACTCCCATTATCCCACGATATTCGACTATATACATCCCATGATCTTTCTACAAAACTGATAATCTTCCAGGTGCTCTGACCAGGTTTTCGTTAAATCCTGAGCTAAACGATGACTTAAGTGCAAACGATGGTATAAATGACTTATATTTCGCTGCACTGAAAAATCAGGGGAGTCACTAAATACAAATCTACTTTGAGATATCTTGAGGACCAAATCGTTTTGTTTTGGAATGACAGTACTTTATCCAAGCAGTTACTGTAAACAATCGAACATTGCCAAGATGATCCTGCAAAAATACTCCTGAAAGAACGCCCATGAAAAAACAACAAGACAAAGCCGTTGGGACTAGCAATATGACTTGACCAAGAATCCCCCAGGGAATCGGTGTGGCTGACGGTTTCTGTAGCACGGGTAGTTTGACCATATTTGACCGATGAGGCCTTAGTTCCCTCACGAGCTGGAAGGAGCCAAGTGCTACACTCAGAGTGGGCCATAGGTTGCCCTTTGGGAGCCAGGGATGGGAACCATATCTGTAGACAATTGGGAACTTGGAAGCCCAGTTGGCCCTAGAAGAAAATAAATCAACCAGTGACCTTGGATCTAAATTGAACAGCCAAGATGCCCAAAATACCTTGGGCAGATGTTTGAAGTCCAAGCATTAAAGACCTCGCCTGGTGGATTTTGATGTGCTTTAAACTGGAATTTCCGGGAACGGATCTGCTTGGCAACCAGGGCTGCTGGGCAACATAATGTTAAGCTGACAGTTTTTGTTGGTGTTCACCACCAGGGCACTGCCAAACCTGTAATAGCTTATATACTGCAACTCCCCAAAAAGATGCGGAGTCGTGTTTCCAGGATGGTATAGAACTTACTTCTTATTTCAACGTTTGCAACTTTTGTATTTTGGGTTTGCTATACGTTATCCTATTTCTCTGGTACTTAGATTGCCGTCTCAACAGGTAGTTGTTTAGTCACCATGATTGGCAAGTTCACACTTTTTTTTGATTCAAGAGGTTATCCAAGTGAGAAAACGGTCTAGCACCATGATTACCGATGAGTTTTTCTCGTTCTCATCAAAAAACATCTATAATAGCAGTACAATTTCTGTTGGTCATCTACAGACACATACTGTCACATACATTAATAAAACAATGGATAATAACACATCAGAATAAAATAACTAGCAGATAGCCAAGTTGGCTCATAACATTCTACAACATCCATTACCCTCTGGTTATTTAACATAGCCATGGGAAATGGCCCATTGAAATAGATGGTTTACCTATTAAAAATGGTGGATCTTTTCATGGCTATGTTAGTTTACCAGAGGGTAAATCTCCATTAATCACAACTGATAATTATTGATCATCATTATTAACCACGATTATTAACCCATTTATAGTTGATTTTCCCATTAAAAATGGTCATTTTCAGTAGCTATGTGAGTTTACCAAAGGGTAATATGCTTTATGATACGCTTAAATAACGTCTCGTCTTCGAGGCTGGCTTCGCCTCAAGTCATCCCCTGCAGCGCTCACGAAAACGGCTCTTTGTGAAGGTGGGACGTCACCGTTCGGATGGTTCGGAACGGACGTCCTAGCCGTTGGGACCGTTTGGGACCCTGTGGTCATTTAAGATAGCTATATATATATATTATATACTATATACAGTATATACAGTATATTATATTATATATAATATATATATATATTATATTATATATATATGGTATAGATATTTGTATAGATAGCCCATTTACTTTGAGGATTTACCTTGCTGCTTATGAAATGTGCTGATGTATCAGTGTTTTGTCCTAGCATGGCCATGGAAATCCTTGGTTGCTTCCCGTTCGGAAATGATCTTCGTGGATTTTCCATGGGGTTTTTCCATAGCTTACTGGAGAGAAATGGGTTGCTGCAGGATGTTAACCCGCCAACATGTGGATTCTACTGGGTTCCATGGATCTTTTTGAGACTGGCATCCTGGCATGGATTCATTCAGGGGAAGTCAACTAGAACCAACATGGGAAGTGCTGGTTTCCCGAATGCGTAGCGGCTTGGCGAAGGGTTCTGGGGTAAAACTCTGGGACTGGGGGTTGGGGGTCTGGGTGTGGAGGTGTGTTCGCTCGGGGTTGCCGGCCGCAGCTGGCCGCAGCCGTCCGCCGCCATTCGCAATGAGGGACCTTGGTGGGTGCTGCAAAAGTTGTCGTCTCTGGAAGCCTTGAGAGACGTGTAACGTCGTTTTGCGATGCCCCTTTGTGACATTTCGACGAGTTTGAGAAAGCGTCAAAAGTCGTTTTGTGTGACAGACGCAATACTTTTAAAATGCTCTTCTTAAGATGATTGGCATTTTTTGTGGCAGGCGCAGCACTTTGAGATATCCATGTGTTTTTTGTGGCCGGCGCAGCACGTTAGACGTGCGGTGCTGCGCGTTGTTTGCAAATCGCATTGGAGCTGCTGTGTCAAGTGGTGAGAAAGTGCAAATATCGTGGCAGGCGTGGTACATTGTGACGTGTCATGAGAATCAATGGTAGCCTCGAACGAAACATCGATTTTGGAGTATCTTGGGATTCTTGTTGAGCTACAACATGTTCTTAAAATCTGCGGAAGTCCCATACGAAATGAATTTTTGAGCCTCCTGAGCCCTGATCCCCGGCAGATCCTCCTGCGGCGCGCGCGTGCGTACGAACTGCTGGGGCAACGCGACGCGAGTCTGGAGGATCTGAGAGCCGTCAGGGTGCCCCAGGCATTGAGAGCCATGTTTTTTTTTTTTTAAGCCACAGAAAGGTGGATTTAGTCAAACGTAGTCAAACCGTATTTTTGTTCAAAGCAACAATGATGGGGATTTAATCAGCGGATACTAACGGTATATGGGCACAGTATACATGTTTTAAATGATTTTTAATGAGACAATGATGATAAACTGATGAAACATTGGATTTTGATGGATTTTGGGGTCTCCCTTGGACCAAAACATGGCTTTCAAGACACATCTTTGTGCGGTCCATTCTCCGTTGAATCCAGGGGCACAAAGAGGTTGAGGAGTTTCGGATGATGGCTTTAAATGGCTTTGGCTCGAAAGGGACATTTTAGGGGAACCCCCAGTTTGACCAGAGGCCAGACACACCTTTTAGATCCTTTTGGTAGGTTTCTTCATCTGCGCAGATGTCGGCTTCAGCATACCAGTACAGCAAATTGGGTGCACTGCCAGCTTTTCAGGTGGTTTGGCCCAGCAAGACCTGTCACACCCTGACACGGCAAACATGGCTACTAAAAAACAAAACCAAGGGGGAATCTATACACAGGAAACCATATGAAACCATACTATTTGATGGTAAAATCGATTTTCTCCAAATAAGATTATACTTTTATCATGGTCTCTATAACTGATTTTGTTTAATTTACATGAATTCTCCATATTTCTCGGGAAACTCCATGTTCATGTCCGAATTTCCCCTTAAACAAATTCATTGAATTGCGGCCCCCAGGCATCCAGTCAGGCTGTTTGCCTCTCCAGGGAGTCGACTTCAACCCTCATTTCATGGTCTCTATGGAAGCCAGTTGTTGGTTTCATATAACATCATATAACTATATATTATATATTATATATATTATATATAATATTATATTATATATATATATTATATAATATGATATATATATATGTACACATATATTCCCCTTTTTGGGATGATTTTACCACAGCATTGATACTTTTCAAGGGGGACACAAGCGACCAATCATTTCCCACTTGTGACTGGGATCTCCTCCATATTTCGACGCCATTGGCCGGCAGCGGGTGTGCAGATGGACAAACTTCATTCTGCATCTTGGAATCTCAAGACTTGGGTTCAAAATGTCAGGGGATAAAGATGGAATCCAGGAAAGGATATACAATCACCAAGCAAGCTAGAGATTGTAGCAATCAACGGATTACATATTGATGATCGAAGCAATATTTTCTTTTGATCACCGTAGTTGATCAGCCCTGGAGTTCCATGTGTCAGCTATTGGGAGCGATAGAACACCTTCCGAAAATGGGCTGGGAGACAACCAACTTTGAGGATGAAGTTGTTGGTGGATGCTTTGTTGGGTCGCAGCGAACTCCCATAGTGACATCCCCCATTTTCATTGCTGACCTCTTTGTTTTGGGTGTTTTTTTCTCATCCCAATCCCTTTCCCATTTTCTTGGATCATTTTCATTAAATCCACATCGATCCACCATTTTCATTGCTGAGTTGTTGGTTTTTCTTTTTTTGACGTGGGTCAGACCACCATTTTTTGCTGCCCCAAAAAAACGAACCGCACGAGCCGCAGCTGCCAGTAAGGCCTTGCAGAGCTACGATGCAGCTGCCACTGGGACATCGTGAAATCCTGGCCAAGAACCTGCCAAGCCAATTAGCCTTCGGTAGGATGTGAAAACTGAGCATTTAAATATATTTAAATGGATTTAATGGGATTATCTAGGGATTTTATAGGGATTTTATAGTTTTTTTTTTTTGAAGGGAGTTATATCATGGGATTTCAATGGTGATCTAATGGGATTCACCATCCATTTGGTTCGGGGATTTTCAATTGCCACGTTTGATGATCGGAGGGTAGAAAATGATCCGGGCAAGAGACCCCCAAAAAGTGTTGCAAGGAGCATAACGAAGAGATACCAGGCTAGATTCTGCAAGTGCCCTTTGTGAAGATCTCTGTAGAAGATCGTGTGCAAGACTCCTTGACAGGTTCTCTGTAAAAGCTGCTGTGCAAGATTCCTTTGTAAGGCTATTTGTACAAGGTCTCTGTAAGATCTATAAGAGATCTCCACGCAAGATCTCTGTAAGAGATCTCAAAGTAAGATCTTTGTTCTCTTGACAAGGTCCAAGATCTTCACAACAAGGTCTCTTGGCAAGATCTCTGCACAAGCTCTCTGAAAAACATCTCCCGGCAAGATCTCTGTAAGATTATGTCCACCTCTATAGCTTATTCTAATGTTTTTTAAACTTGAAAAAAAAGCAAAAAAAAGGAAAACGCATGGAAAATCAAAAAGCAAAACTTCAAAACCAAAAAAAACAGGAAGCAAAATAAATGGGAAAAAAAAGGACCGTCAAAAAGGGGGGAAAATGGGAAAAAAATGGACTTGTCCATTTGCATTTTTGTTGCTTTTTTTTTTGCTTTTTCGATTTGCTTTTTTTTGCTTTTGTTTTGCTTTTATTTTACTTTTTTTTGCTTTTTGCCTGGAAAAAAACAAAAAAAAGCAAAAAAAAAGCAAAACAAAAGCAAATAAAAACAAATCGAAAAAGCAAAAAAAAAGCAACAAAAATGCAAATGGACAAGTCCATTTTTTTCCCATTTTTTCCCCTTTTTGTCTTTCCTTTTTGTTTCCCTTTTTTTTCCCTTTTATTTTGCTTTTGTGTTTTTTGGATTTTGCTGATTTGCTTTTTGGTTTTTCCTTTTTTTTTGCATTTTTCGCGCTTTTTTTCAAGTTTTAAAAAAATAAGAATAAGCTATGGTTTGGTGAACATAACTGTAAGAGATCTCTGAAAGGATCTCTGTTCCAGCTATCTGTACAAGCTCTCTATACGAGATCTACTGGCAGGATCTCTGTAGGAGCCCTTTTGGCCAGGTCTCTGTACAAGATCTCTATAAGAGGTCTCTTGTCACGATCTGACAGGGCCAGGAGGGACTTTTGTGCCGCAAGGGTCACCAAATTTGCCGGACATGGATGAGACCACCTGGAACGAACACCAGGCCTTAACAACTACCGTAAGAACCCCAAGTGTGGCCACACTGTTTGGGGAATGACCAAATGACCTGAATCTTTTGAAAAAACTTTAATTAAATAAGAAACACAATGCTTTAATCATTATTTTCACACAGAATTTCGATAATGATGTAGAAGGCCAATGAAAACACATATGCAATTATACATTTACTACATGAACAGCTGGATCTTTGACTGCGACCTCGCGGCGGACTAGGGTTGTTCTAGGTGAAGCGGGCACTACTCAAATGACCCCAAAATTGGATGGTTGAATCATGGTATTTTGTATAATATTCATAAATACACGATATTTCATGATCTATCTATCTATCTATCTATCTATCTATCTATCTATCTATCTATCTATCTATCTATCTATCTATCTATCTATCTATCTATCTATCTATCTATCTATCTATCTATCTATCTATCTATCTATCTATCTATCTACAGTATCTATCTATCTATCTATCTATCTATCTATCTATCTATCTATCTATCTACACTATCTATCTATCTATCTATCTATCTATCTATCTATCTATCTATCTATCTATCTATCTATCTATCTATCTATCTATCTATCTATCTATCTATCTATCTATCTATCTATCTATCTATCTATCTATCTATCTATCTATCTATACTATCTATACTATCTAT